ATGGGTTTTTTTTTTTAGAAGAAGAATCTTTCAAATAAATGTGGGTATTATCAGTCAAAAATTCTGTACTTTTTTAGTTATCGTCAAATAAAATATTGAATTCATCATAACATTTTTCAGCTTGTTTTCGGGAAAGTATGTTATACACATAAATGAAAAGGGTTTAGAGGGGAAGACTTTAGCTAAGTTTCGTTAAAATCGGTAAAGCCGCTTTGGCGCTACAGCTTATAGCGACACATTTTTTTGTGGCTTTGAACAGAAAAACATTTACATTTTTATTTTTTTTACATATATAAAATTATTGTAAGACAGAAGTAATATGCCAGAAACCTTTCCGGGAGTGTACAGAACAACTTCCCAAAGTTTCATGGCGATCGGATGAATGGTTTAGTAATGCACCAAGGACAAACAGATGGACAGACAGACATACATTCATTTTTATATATATAGAAGATATAGGCATTACATAACTACCATATTTTACAAATTAATACATATGTCAATTCTGTGCAGGATGGTGTTTTTTAAAAATATTTATATTAATATGCATTAAATCAATAACAGTCATTTTATTTCTATTGGTTGTATATCATACATTTATAATTCTAATTTACATTTCTAAATATTTATAACAAATCGAGTGCGAAAAGACCAATGTCAATTCACCCTAGTAGTAGCTAGGAATGTTTAAGAATTCTTGAATTCCTCATGTGAAATTTATGTTGCCTATTTATTCTCCATCAATGGGGCATTAGTTCCCACAAGAAGCAGAAATTTACCACAAATATCAAATACAGGGTTGACGAAAAAGAAATTCTCAGTTCTTACTTTTTTCTCTCCTGCCTGGCAAACATCCTTGTCTATTTATTCCAAATGAATTTTTACTGTACAAGTTGGTTATTCTTAAATTTTCTCAAACTGCTTGGAGTTCAGTAACTCTAAATATCACAAAATTAATTCCTAATACTGGTAATTCTTGGGTGAAAAGAAACAAACAATGTATTTACTACATTAGATTGAGAGAATACCATTTATAAATTATTTAAATTTTAGGAGATAGATGTCAAAAGTTTTTTCTTTACGATTAAGAAATTGTAGTTTAACTTATCATTTATTTGACATATTTTTGGGATTCGGCTTCAAAAAATCATATCAATAACACAAAATAGATCGGTATGGGAACCCATTAGTACGTCTTGCCCTCTTTAATAAAATAAAAATAAGCAGAATAAAATCATGTAATTATAAAAATAAAATTGTTATCACTAATTATAGAATACTTCAGGTTCTGTTCAGACTGGCAATGAATGTTTTTTGTAAATTTCTGTAATAATATGTATAACAATTTTAAATATAACAAAATTTTCAAGCACGGGATATGAATGATTTGAAGATTTTTATTCTTTTCTTGCATTGTTAAATTCCTCATGAATTAAATTATTTTATATTTATAACTCTTTTTATGATTTTAAGTAATTGTCCAAATTTCTCTAAAAACAATTTGTCATTTAATAAAAATATCATAAAAAAGTTGGCTTCTCAACATCCATTGAAAAGAAGAAATTCAACTAAATAAGTTGCCAGTATATAGGAAGATATATAGATGTAGTATGTAGATGTAGGAAAACGTTTGGTCAGCAATACATAATTCATGCCTTATTTTGGATTTTCAAGATCAGAAAATTACTTCTTTATGGATATCCTATCAATGGTAGGGATAAAAAAGTGACAGATGAATATATTCACCTTAAGTGTAGAAATCAACAAAAAATAATATCTTTATTAGAAAAATTATAATGTGTTTTGAAACTATAATAATTTAATGGATTTAAAAAAAAAAAAAAGAAGAAGAATCTTCTATTTACATATTGTATACATCATTCCTGAATATACAGACCAAAATCAATTTTATTTATTTTTTATAACCATCAGTTTTCTTCATTACATTCATACGCATCCTCTTGACATTTTTTCTTTATTATAATCGTTCCCTGCAACCAAAGTAAAAAGGGTTTCGGTGATTTCTAAAGATTATTAAAAACTTCATTAAAATAAAACTTTATTTATATTTAATTAGCACCAAAATAAAATTAAACTGCTATGAACTTAAACAAGAATAAATAATGATAATAATTTTTAAAAATTTATGCATCAAAAAATTATCATTATTTTGAAAGGATAAAAATAAAATTATTTCATTAGAAGTTATCATATCATAATAAATAAATAATTAAGTATGACTAAATTGACAGGATAAAAGCTGCCTTTCTGCTTCCGATATTCAGAGTTGCTACCAATTATTTCTGATCTGAAGCTTATTGAACTTCTATGAAATGAGTTGTCATAAAGGATAAAAATACGGAAAACTTCAATAAAGAGGTAACATTCCAAAATAATTTTTATATTCTTTAAATTTTTACTTTCACTCACCTATATATGTAATATAAAGTAAATGAAAGTATTGCGATCGTGAAAATTTTTTAATCAGAAATAAACGTTTTGTTATATATTATACTATCCATAATTAATTTGATCATTTTAATTATATTTTTAATACTAAGAGAATATTAATTATCAGATAGTTAAAAACAGAACTTTTTTTTTTCGTCTTCATACACTTTTCAACAATGAGATATTAATTAATTTTATACAATAATCTTAATGCCAGCACATAAATATTCAACCCAAAAGAGCAAATAGTTGTTTATATATTGTGTCACATAACTTAGGACACTGTATAGACCAACCAATCCATAAACTTAAAAATGACAATTATTTCGAAGACCAAGACAATCAGAAAAAAGAAATTGACAGACTAAAATATTTAAACAATTGTAAAAATGTAAATTAGATCATGAAAGTAGTAAATTTTAGTTGATTCTGAATGGTTTGTATTTAAACCTTCAAAACTAATTATTACAAACACCAGTTCATAAGACTTTGGAATTTAAGGTCATAACAAATGAAAGGTTAATGTATCTAAAAAATATTTAAAAAACTTATAAAATACAGATAGTTGTCACCTTTGAGGAAATAATAACTATTTATAAATTTCTCGAGGAAACCATTAATGTTTAAAAAAATTGAATAATAGAAATTTCTACAAAGATAATAAGTAATGCTCCATGAAGAAGTAATTCGAATAAAGAACATTATATGATTTTGAAAATCAAAATGAAGGTTATAATGAATTATGTAAAACTGACCACCATACTATATACCAACAACCATCATCTCAGCGACCAATTGCATTTCTCTCGCAAGAAATGTTAGGTCTTGGTATTTTTTTATTCGATATCTGTTCATATAATCAATATCACTATTATAATACAGCGATATTTGGTTATTGTAGATCAATTTGTAATATAAATGCATTATTATAACATAATTTTGCTCAGTAATAAGATCATAATTCTGAGAAAACATTAATAATGATCACAAACATTTCTCTGAATCAAGCTAACTAATTTAGACTATTAGTACAGGAAAAATAAATTAAAATCCACCAATGTTTCAACCCACGTTGCAGGTTTCTTCATCACACAACTTGTACTTGTTTGATATCTACTGATCATTAATTTATTTTATTTTTTACCTTGTACCAATTTATATCTATAGTTGGTATCATTTGTAGCCCTAATGAAGACGTACAACGCGGTTCAAAACGTCGGCATATCCTATAAAATACTATTATGATATATAGTATTTAATTAGAATGCACTACCGACCAACTGCTCAAATTATAATCATAGTTGTCATCCTGACCTTTGGGCTGACCAAGACGAATAACTAAGACGAAGTATGATCCACAGAAAATGTAATAATTAGTGAAATAATTCTTATACGTATAAGTCCCAAAAGAAAAACTATTGTTATCACTGTAACTTATTTCCATGGAATAAGTGGTTCCATATCATATAATAATAGAAGCATCTTTAAAAAATATGTACAACAGTCAAACAACAATTGTATTTCAGAGGTGCTTTCTTTGTTATGAGATGGTCATGTGCGAGCTTGCTATGCCTCATTCTGACATAATTGTTCTTCTTCGCTTGTACTACGGTTGAAGGCAGATCAAAGTTTGTACTTTTCTTGATTGTTTTAACTATCATTTCTTTACCTAATCATTATGGAACAAAAAGATGTATTAACATATCTATAGGTAATCAGACTAAGTTCTGTTGGGAAGATACTAGGAAACAAACACATTCAAAGTTCTTCCTCAAAGAATCCCCTTCAGAAAGAAGTACATTACTTCTACTTATGAAAAGGTGTGTACGAGGATTAAATACAGTTTGCTATCGACTGAATAAACATCAATAGTTTTTTCTAGGATTAACTGAGGCATAATCCATAGTATAAATCAGGAGTCTTTGAAATTTTTGGCCCGCGGACCACATTGAGATCTCTACTAAGTATCACGAGCCGCCTTGATACCTCCACCTAAGTCCCACATGCCTTGTGATGAAAAAAAAACAATCATGTTCTATAAATTACACTTCAGTTAGGAAATGAGCTTTCTAAAAGAAATAAAAATGTACAATAAATGTTGTAGTAATCTCTGGTGTGAGTAATTTGCATATCTTTTTTAAATAGTTTTTAAATTTTACCATGTAATCAAAGAATCTTTCACAGGCCGGATTGGAAGTGCTTGAGGGGCTGGATCCCGTAAGCCGTAATTTGGAGACTCCTGGTATAAACGATGGGCCCATATATCACATAATATATAGAAGTGATATTTGAGCTATGGTGCACTTTGATTTTGGTTGTGACTTAATTATTGAACCTACAAATTCACAAAGGCTATTGGTCTATTTTAACAGAGTATAGGATGGCGCACAATATGCCTTAATCAGAACATGACGCATGTAGGCCCTTATAAAATAAATAAAAAAATAATAACAGTTCATAAATAATTTACAGAGAAATGATTAACCTTTCGATGAAAATTAATGCTAAGATTAATTAAAACTGAATTATTTTAATAATTATTTCATGACCTGAGTTTGAGGGCAAACACCTTCAACAACATCTATTACTAGAATCGCACCATCACAAAGTCTAACAGCTGTGGAAACTTCGGAGGAAAAATCCACATGACCGGGCGAATCAATTAAATTGATCAGGTACTCTGAACCACCTAAAAAGAAAAAAAAATGCTTATAGTATTTATAAATGAATCATAAAGCAATGATTTATAAGTGGCATTTTTGTATCATAAAATTATTCTTTAGCACACAGATGATTAAATAAACCTTTACCTACATTTACTTATTTAATTATAAATTTCCATCAACAGACACATTACCCAATTAAAGCTGGTAAATAATTAAAAATATATTCTTTATCTAAATGAATGATTCTAAAAGCAATAATAATAAAAAATAAAATACACAAAAGATGGAAAATTAAATTAAATATGTTTTCAGTGCGGGTAAAAACATATCATTTGATAATTGAGTTGATTAACAGCAAAAGCTTAAAAAATTCGTAAGCTTTCTGTATCCTCATTTTATCTCGGTTATCACAACAGTTGCAATACATAATGAAAATAAAAAAGTAATTTATTTGTTATCAATTCAGGAAATGCGATCATTTATATATCCTTAAAAATAAGAATGACTAAAATCTTTATTTTTTCTTAAAACAGATCAGACATACGAAAAACTAACTCGGCTACTTTCAGAATTTCAAGTACAAAGTAATAGATCTGACCATGGTTTACCTCCACTCATGTGTGACATTAGCTAAGTTGTAAAGATATGTCAAAAAAGTCATTACGACTAGATTTAAAATATTTTAGGCCACTTTTAATTATTTTATTCCTGACGTAAATCCTGTTTGTAACAAATTAAAATTCATTATAAAAGTGCAAATCCCTTCGCATTCATTGGTCAATATAGAAGACTAATCTGTGGATCTTCACAATTAGTTGAAAGCTCGAGAATGAACCCAAGCAGCATTAAGTTATATCTGATTATTTCTTTTTTCAATTACCCTCTGATACTTGTAAAATATTAACAGCTAATTTTTGAAACCTTGTAAGTTCAATAATAAGTGAGACTCAATTAACACTGATTAGACTGTAGTGATGACAATAATGGTTGAATGATACAACAAAATTAGAGGAAATTAAATTCTTAATATATTTTGTGAAATTTGAAATAATTAAGTTAATATTAACTTTTAGTAGATCATTAGTTTCTAAAAATCTGAAAAAAACTTTTTTTTCTCATTAAGGCATTTTACAATTAAATAATAAAATTTATATAAATAATTAAGAGCAAATGTTTCAATTAATTCTTTTTATTGTAATTAATAAACGTTCAATTGATAAACATTTCAATTAATTTTTCTAAATATTAAATAAAATAAAAATAGAACATAAAACCATACTTAAATATGACAAGGTACAGAAACATAAAAAGTACCTAGTGTATGATATAGTGAAATGGAACTGCTCTTCATAGTTATTCCTCTCTCTTGCTCATCTTTCCTGCTGTCCATGTACCTAATAAATAATGATAAGTTAAAACAGAACCACGCAAAAATAATTAATTGACTGATAAAATTTATTTATCAACCTTAACTTCCCGGCCATTCTGGGAGATATTACACCATTACTTGCAATGAGAGAGTCTGCCAAAGTTGTTTTTCCATGATCAACATGGGCAACAATACATATATTTCTTATGTTTTTAGGATTTTTCTGAAGTTCAGAAAGTTTTTCTTGACTTATTAATCTCATTTTGCCTTAAAGAATCGGTAATTTAATACAACGAGTAATTAAAAAAATAATAAACGTTATTTAAGAATATGTAACGTTTTATAATAGGGATTCCTGAAATCCAACTTGTTAGTACAAAATAATAAACGTTTATTCCCTCTACAATACTTCATCAGGGGCAAACACGGCATTAAAACATCACTTTTACAATGCATTAAAACACAACATTGTAGTTATTAAATTTAGATAAATGTTACAGAAGTTGTCACAGTAAATAAAATTAGCAGCCAATCTACCAAACTAAATCACAACCAATGACACACGTGATAAACCTAAGTGGTACCTTCCCTTGACCGTTGAAGGACAGTTTTTTATCCAAAGAGATTGGAATGTCATTTACTAAAACATTTAAAAGAATTTTGTATAATATATATTAAAAATTTAATTTTAAAACTAACATCGTTAGATTTGATTGCGAAATAGAGTAACGTAGTTGAAAACCTCTAAACAAGTATGTATATATAGTATATATAAACATACATAGTATGTATAAACAAAAGTTTCTGAGAAATAGCTCAGATTGTATCATGTTGAAGTAAACGAACACTTTTACGTGATAGATAAAATTAAACTAATTTTTCTAATAGTAAATTGTAAATTGTATGTTTAATTCTCTGCTAATATTATTAATAAATATATAACAAAGAGACAATGATCTTCAGACTCTACGCAAGTAGACAGTGTAAATGTTTTTGAAGAGAAGAATAGTTGGGGTGAAATAAGAAGGCAAAAATAAATGATAATATTTATTTTGACGTAAATGTTTTTGCTATCTAAAACTTGAAGGAAGCGTAAATATACTATCGTATATAACTATTAAAATCGTTTGAATGTTATAAGCAGCAGTATTTTCAAATTAAATTTCAATTTATCTTACATTTAAATTACTATAGATAATAATATACATATAAACTTAATTGAACATATGATTATGTTTAATTTTAGGAATGAACTTGTCAAAAAGTTGTAGAGGCATCTAAGAAAGTAATGTTTTGTTTTAATGAGCTTGAAAAACTAATTAAGACTATTCCATGCAAAGAAGAAACTAAAAATGTAGAAACACTCAGCAGTTATGTTCTACGGCAAAACTTAGCGGTTGGAGAACTCTTTTGTTTCATTCACGCTATCGAACTTGTTATAAAAGCGTTGTCCTCTAAAATTACAAGATATAATTTTTTAAAGTGAGTACGGTACATTTGACATAGTATAGAAAATCTTATAAATGTTATTCTTGCATTACGCATATGCCTCTCCTTAATAACAACGTATTGATATATCGAAGACCTCAACGAAATATATGTTTTGTTTTTGACCCGCCATAAATAAATTTCAATCCGGTCAGGATTAATTCAAATCGGTGCTCTGTGATCTGAGAACGGCAAAACCTCTGTTTTCAAGATGTTAATTCAAATTGCCTACATTTTTAATGTGAGACGTAATTAACACACATGTTCCATAAGTTCAGGCACTAATAAAAATATTGGTTTCCAAGATTTTCAATAAAGTATAAATAGAAAGCCTTTTTTTCTACCATATTAATTTTGCCACTTGTTACATACCATTAAATATATTATAGTGTTTTTTTCTGTACTTAAAAGAATTTTTTGTGTGTAATTATTTGAAATGTGTGAAATAAGTTCGTAACTTAATGAATACTGGAATTTCTTATTTTCTATATAGGATAAGTACGTTGGGCTAAAGCCTGCCTACGTATTACAGGAATCAAAACGTTCTTTAAACCCTGTGCTAAATAAAGTTGAATTTAAAATCAGCTGCGGTTTTGGAAATTATTGTGAAAATTCAGTTAGGAAAGATGTTCGAAAATTGGGCGTATTAACAATACTACCTACACATAACTAAATTCATACCTAATACAATTTATTCCCCTTCATCATCGAAAACTGGGGGAGAAGTATAGAAATAAAGAAAATATGAAGGGACCTATCTAAAAGAAATTGAAATAGATTTTGTGACAAATTTGTTATTGTGTTGTTAGCTCAGTACCATATATATTGTCTTTATCTTTATTTACTTGTAGGCCGATTAGCTTCGCTTCTTTATCAACATTCTTTGATTCAGTATATAGCCGTATACAATACATTTTTATTTTTACAACGTGTATGACATAAATTGTTTTAAGGTAATTTTTTTTTGTCAATAGTACAGACCTTTTATATCTTTTGCCGAATAGCAAGCCTACTACATCTCTGCCTATATGGGACTATTTCAACAACATTGGTGATATTCAATTTCCCTGCCGAAAGCACTTTCGAACTTTAAAGGCTTCAGACACTTCTGCTTGTATTAGGACTCAACATTTAGGATAATTTGTACACACCTTTGCCAATCTCACTAACTTACTCAGAACTTCCAATGATTTTCCCAAGACTGTTCCTGCCCACAGAATCATAGGCTGCTTTGAAATCGACAAATAGGGCTTGAACGTCCTGAGCTTCTTCCTTTCATTTTTCGAGTACTAGTTTTATGATGAAGATGGCCTAGCGTGCTCCTTCCTTTTATAAATCTAGCTTGACTATTATATTTTCATAATACGGATGCATATCCGGTTTATTAGAATATTGGTCATTATCTTGTAGGCAACTGGAAGAAGTGCTATGCCTCTGTAATTAATACGCTCATACATGGAACCTTTCTTTAGGATAGGGCATATTAGCCCTGTATTCCAAGCCTCTGATATCCTTTCCACCTCTCATATTTTCTAGATTAGTTGTTGTAATATGGCTCTTGATGGTAGGTTGTCCATCTCTGAGGCCTTTCTTGTTTTAAGCCTTTCGATAACTATTTATATATTCAGTATATCTGGGTTTTCAACCTCTTTTGAATCAAGTTTTTCAGTGTGGTCCATGTCTTACGAAACTTTAACACTCTTAGCCATAATATTTGGTCATTTAATTATTTTAAGAACTATATTCCGAAATTGTAGCTCCCGATAGCATTGGAGCAGTACAGCAGTGCGCATACCCTCAGAGGTAGTTGGTATTAAATAACTAAGTAAAAGATTAGTCAAGGTTGCAAGAAACAAAAACATTGTTCACATTAGAATCAATAAGGATTATTAAGGAAAATTAAATAATATCAGTAATAGATTCCAAAAATATTTTTGTAATGGCTTTTTATATATCGTCCACGAATTGGTGACTTTCCGAGAACAGAGTTACACCAGTGCGCTGTAAAACGTGGATTTTAAATTTTATTTGCAGTGCGAAGTCCCCTCCCAACTTATGCAGGCATTATTTATTTTTTTTTTTTTTAAGTTTCATATTGACTTGAAAAAAATATATATATTTTTTTAATAACATGTTATTTACGTATTTAGTTCTTCCCTTTCAATTGGCACCATATTACAATATCCGCATCTTGAGTTAGCATACTATTGAAAATTAAATACTGATAAATAAATCACCGTGAAATAAAACCACGGGTAAGAAACAAACAAGAATTAAAAAAGGTAGTTGTAGAAGAATAGAAAATAAATACTCAAGAAATTACTATAAAATTAGTAGGATTTAGAAAAACCCGTTTGTTCATAAAAAAAACAATAAATCTCTACTATGCAGTATAAAATAAAATATAAAATAAATTATAGAGTGTACCTTTATAATATGCATGAACTATTTTTTGCAATGTGAATGAAAAAGATGAACAAATAATTTAACGGATAGTTGATGACCAGAAAATAATCGAAGTATTTCAAAAATTAAAAATTAATGTTTCCATTATTAGGTAAAATTGTATACTATAAAAATACATGATGGTGGAAGACATTTAATTGTGGGCGAACTATATCAACAAACGTGGGTAGTTCTAGTAATAGAATCAAGCAATAGTGTGTATAAAAAAGGATGAGCGTTTTATCTAATTCAAGATTTCAAAGTACTGTAAATATTTTAATTCTATTTAATAATTAACAATGCTTAATAATCCCTTCAGAGCATTCTCTAAGCTTGTTTAATCCCATTCGATCTATACAAAAAAAAATCCAGATTAGTTATTTGTTTCAAAGAAGAAACATGACAGTGTCCTACGAAATTCTCATAATTTTAAGACATTACTGAAAGGTTATTGAAAAACCCTTCTGATATGAGATTTTACCGGAAGATTGTTCCCTGTGATGAAAAGTGGGTTTACTGGCGAAATTGGAATGCCCGTGAGCAATGGCTAGATCGCGGTCAAACGCGGAGATTTTTGGAATTTTTAAATTATTATTCATCACGATTTGTTCCTGATGGATGCTCTATTAATTCTGAACTCTATTTCGAACAACTGGAAAGATTTTACGCGAAGTTGTCAGCGTTATCCTGCTTGGATAAACCGAAACGGTGTTTTATTCCAACAAGGTAATGTTCGTCCTCACACTTCCCGTAAAACCAAAGAAAAGTTTAAAGAACTTCACAGGTTCGAAATGGAGTCTCATCTTCCATAAAGTCCAGATCCAGTACCATCGGATTACTACTTATTTAAATCCATTCTTCGAGGAGAAAAAATCGATAATTTTGCGGAAATTGAAATTGCGGTCCAAGAGTTCTTTGACAGCCTTCCCAAAGAATGGTATCAGCGTGGGATGGAGCAATTGGCTAGTAGATGTCCAATGCCGGTAGATAACAATGGATTATACTTTGAATACTGATTGTATTTTATATCAAAGAAATATATAAATATTTAGTTGAAAAAAGTTTTTTTTTTAATAAACCATATCAGAAGTAAATATAAGCTTCCACCTACAAGCATTGCAGAATGCTACGCTTTTAGTGCAGAACTGTACGATATTAGGCAACGCAAAGAAGTGAACTTTATAATATGTTCAGATTCTGGCTTTGCTATAATATCATTCACGGACATATAATCCGAAGAATTGCTAAGGAATTGGCCTCCCTCGGCTGATGCATGACTACCTCATAGAAAAAGCCAGACCACCAAAATGTGAGACAAAGTGCTGCTGAAGATTGGACACATTTTAGAAGATTGTAATATGTATTATTGTTATTTTCAATATTTAAACTTCGAAAGAAAAATTCAAGCAATAGTGGGCTACAACAGTAGCAACCTAGAAATAGTTGTTGCATTACTTAAGAAAATTATTTTGTTTACTAAAACAAGGAAAGATAAATTTAAAAAATTCACCGTAGAAGGACACAAAAGACCTAAGCAGTTGAGTGTTCTTGAACAACCTAACCTAACCTATATCAAGTTAGGTTTACTCTATTTAATGGTTATTAAATTAATAATGTTAGAATAGTAAATTATTATTCTTAAGGTTAATTTGTTTATTTTATAGTTTCAGCGAAAGACATGTCCGTAAAGGAAAAACTGAAGAAAAACCAACTGACCCTCTTGAAACCCTGTTTTCTAGTATTACAAGAAAATTACAATTTATAAAAATTTTAGAAGAAATGGTCATACATGTAATAGGAGATAGTGGATTAGTCCAGTACATGATAAGTAAATACACGGAGGATATCATGAAGGTTATGATTTCTCTCAAGGTTATGATTTCTCTCATCAACATGTTGTTTGATGAGAGAAAGTTTAATGTTAGAGATTAGAGATTTAATGTTATAATTAGGTTAGGATTGGAGCAATATTTCAAATCAAAAATATCAAGACTGAAACTTTACAGTTCATTCATTTGTATTAGTAAAAAATGTCAGTAAATAGGTACCTAACATAAATAACCAATACATATTTCATTATGGTGAACTATAATTTCCATGGTCTTATAGTCACTAAATAAGATATATTTTTAACGATATAAGATTAGATGTGATCATTATAGGACTTGGTACTTAAAAAAACATTGGAGAGGGGTTGAAGGTTTGTGTAAAATGATAATAGAATATAATGAATCACTATGCATAAAGGACTAACCCAATCTGCAGTTCATTATTAGTAATATTATATAATTATTAGATGTGCAACGATTTGGTTTTAATTAAATGAAATTCTCCCCGCTCCCCCTCCCCCAAACCCGATACCGTCTTCTAGGATGTTAATATAGTCTTTATCTGTTGCCCGAATAGTATTGTATATATAATTGTCAATGCAGGTCGAATGTCATTTACCTGGCAAATACGTGGCTTGCTTCAATGTTCTTGACGGGCGGAAAAACCTTGCAGACCACTTACCGGTTGGAGCGACATTTGCTTTATACAAGTAATACACCGTTGGAATAAGACCTTATTATTGTATGTAGTTTTTAACTGTATCAATTAAGTCCTTGATCTTTTCTTAAATCTAGCTCAAAAGCAGATACACCAGTATAGATCAATAATAAAACCTGTACTATTACAACCCATAAAGTGTAATGGTTTAATAACGGTTTCATACTTTATAAGACTATACTGTTACAAAGCCAACGGCAGAATATATAATTACCTGCCCCAGCCGGACTCAAACCAGAGATCATAAGCATATTAACCCAGTGACTTGGCTCAGATTAATAATAATAATAAATAGCTTTTTCTCTAATGGGAAAAGACATTTTTTTTTTTTGTGGTAACACAGCTGAGGAAAGGAAAATTGGAGCTGTGTGGTTGGAGTTTTCCAATTATATCCTAATATTTAATTAATTATGTAAAGAATAATAATTAATTAACGAGCCAAACCTTAGAACAACGAAGAATATGTAGTCGGTTTTCGCAACAACTAATAAACAAGGGGTGTTTTTTTTTCTGTTCTTCCCTACCTCCCCTTTTAGGCTATACGGGATTTCCCCAGGCCGGAGGGTGATGACGGGGAATTTAAAATCCGGGATGGCCCTCCAGTCTTTCCTCTCTGTTATATAACCATTGCCAATGCCGCAGTAACATCTTGTCTCCTGTACTAAGCTAAATGCCAGTACTTTCTGATCTGAACTCGTTCCAGATCTGAAGGTCCAATGATTAATATAACTTACCAGTGTTGGATAAGACAGCGTTACATCGATCCAGCTCTCATCCCTCGGCCCAGAGAAAGTGAGGGAATCAAATGGGATCTATCATTCTCAACTATCAGCTGACTTCTTGCAAAAACTCACCGAATGTAAGCCCTCTTCTGTCAGTTCGATTGGAACCCCAGTTAGTGTTCGGCTATAAAAGAGAAGGCACGGCTGGGGTTCCGGAGATCCAGCTAGTGAGGATTGCAGGAGAGCCTAACAGATGAAAACAAATAATTCGGGAACGCACCATCGAGGAATGGAATCTAAGATGGTCGATAACCCCGAAAGAAGAAGTTCTTTCCGACAGTGCAATCAAGATTAACTGCGAAATGGGTGCTCCCGGACTACTGGGTTTCGCAAGTCCTCACGGGACATGGGGCTTTCGGGCCAAACTGTACAGTTTTGGCAAAAACGTCGACCCCCTCCGTCCCAGGTGCCGCGTTACAGAAACTGCCGAACACATAGTAACGTCCTGCACTGTATTCGAAGGTCTTAGGGACAATTTAAGGAGGAAAACGGGATTGTAATTCATGACAGAAGATGATTTCCCCTCCCTCATGAGACAAGAGAACTACCCATATTTCGAAGAATTCGTATACGTTTGGAAGACGACTGTGGGACCGGAACACTTTAACCTTTGTGTCTCTAGGCGAAGAGAGGAGGCGACAGAAGGCAATTCAGAATGAAGATGTGGGCTTCAGTTGAAGCAATCTAACTGGCTGAGGTAGCTTGATGAATTATTTATTACGCCATCCTCACCAAGACCGGTATTGCCATAATGTAAGGTAGGGTGAAAATAAATAAATACATAAGATTATCGCCAGTGGACCACCGATTTCAATAATTTTTTTTTTTTTTTTTTTGTGGTTCTACCTGAAATAATATTGGACACGTCTCTCGGCTTACGTCCCAAGTATGAATTTTCAATAGAGCTGGATAAGTTTAGTTCAAAAAGTTAGACGTAGTGACTTTTTTGTTTAGGGTACCTTCCATGATCCAATTTGGGATAAGCATCTTACCCTTGGCTCAGAGGGGGCCTTAAATCATAGAAAACGATTATGTTTATTTTTCGGAATAAGTTGAAGAATCTATATTTTACTTAAATCAATAGAATATACAGAGAAAGATATTAGATGGTTGCAATGTGATTGCTGTCCTTGCCATTAGTCATAAAATGAACTGGCAATATGTGTTTTCAATTGATGGAACTGTAACTGTAATTTTCTGCTACAGAATTCCATATTATCCGTCGAATCCAACTGCATTTTTACATTTATTAATAAATAAAAGATTGCCTATTTATAACTGTAGTATAAGTAATACAGTTAAAAGAATGTGTTTCTTTCAGATTAAAACAAGAAGGAGATCTGGATTTGGCGACTCTAACGGGTAACTCGATAACAATTGCTGGTTATGCTATTTTTGGTACTTGCACAAAGCTGGTTTTAGGTTTTAATGCTAGAGGTGTTCATGATTTTTATCTGGATCGGGTAGGTTCAACTATATATACCATGTATTTAAAATTATATGCCTAGTCGTTGTACATGAGATTATTAAAAAAATAAATAAAAATATAACATCATCAAATCAGTAAACTTGTCACTGGAAGGTTTTTCATGGATAGGAATCAAAAACTGATAAATACTCAGTAACCACTGTTTCTAATTTGTTTTTTCTATATACTTTCTAGTCTCTTGGAGAATTTATCCTCAAAGAATCAGATAAAATAATCCCTAAAAGAGGCGTATGCTATTCTGCCAATGAAGGAATCACTGCAGGTTGGGACGAAGCCACACTCATTTATTCCAACCGTAGGAAAGATCCAAGAGTGAGATATCAATATATATATACATATATACATGGTAGTGAACATGGGAATTGAACATATGCGTAATCTTAATCGAATGTTTATAATTTGTTTTTGTCTTTAAAAATGCTAACTGACGATTGGCTATCTTGTAAAGGGGATCCTACGCGGTCAATCGGAATTGCACTAATGACGTTCCGAATTGTCCTGTAAGGTAGTGAATGAAGTACTGATGGTGGTGCTCTGCGGATTTCCGAACATCCGGAAATCAAAGGTTCATTCACGAGAAATGGAGGGGGACTGAGGTAAAAGTAGTGGGGAGACTAACCATACTGCTGGATAGGGTAGGTTACCTAGGCCTCACAACCATTATAAATTTCTGATTTTCATTATACGTAAATAGTTAAATAATTTTTCATATCCCTTGTTTATAATTTTAAACCATCTTCAACTATTTCTTTTAAATAGTCAAGTGGGCAACAAATTAAAAAAAAAAAATGAGGAAACTTCACAATTTACTTTAGGAAAAAAAAAAAACTTTAACGTTGTGTATATTTATCAGTTCTTTTCCCATTTTCCTCAACAAATTTATTATTTTCGCAATACCTTTCCTTAATTTTTGTAAGTAGTAGACTTATATTTTACTAACTTTTGTCAAAACGATTTTCTATGAGACTAACCTTACTACTAGATAGGTTAGTTTACCTAGGTCTCGTTATTAAGTAAATAATTTCATAAAAGTAAATAGTTGTTTATATCCCTAGTCTATATTATTATTAACCATTTTCAACTATTTTTTCTTTAAATAGTCAAGTAGGCAATAAATTGGAGAGAAAAAAAGTGGAAACTTCACAATTTACTTATAGAAAAAAAATCTTTAACTGTTGTGTTTATTTGCCATTAATTTTTCCATTTTTCTTAACAAATTGATTATTTTCGCAATACTTTTCCTAGATTTTTGTATGTAGTTGACTTATATTTTTCTAACTTTGGTCTAAACGATTTTCAGGCACTAGGAAGTAATTATTATATCTCCGTTTTTCTCTTGATGCCCAATATTATAAATGACAATGTCCAAATAAGCATATCTATGCTGTTTCTTTGTTTACAACTGCGCTAAATTGGTATCAGCAACGATAAGTAATGATCAGTAATGATTGAACGTGTAGGGGTCTTCATGATCAAAGCGATAGCGGGCAATCTTGGAACTTCTTGTGACGTTAATTCATGAATTACCGTGTAGGGTCCCCTTAACTTCTTGCTACTTCTGTCATAACCTCAACGCACCAAATATTTCAAAGTTTGTATGAAGTAATAAAAAAATATCTAAGTTGCCCTTTACATATATACACCTTTCAGTTTTCCTATGAATTTCTATGCGTCTTTATCATTATTGCCCTTTAATAATTTTAGGTGCACGATATAGGTTAGAAAGTTTGGAGGTGATAAGATTTGAGATATGACAAAACTGGGTATTCGTGTCCCACCAGTCAGAGACATTCACTTGGTGAAAAAACTATAGTTGTTTATCGGCTTATGTAAGTTATTTTTCCGGAGCTCCTATACTCCAAGTTCCATTATACCATAAATAATAACAATGCCATTACATTCTGTGACTTTGTAAGCAGTGAACTGAAACACGATTTCCAAAAGTATCACTCTCGTTTCTTTTTGTGGATAAATCATCTCAAGAATGAGATATGTAGAAATGTAACATTTAGTTCTGCTGTGTACATGTGTGTGTGTGTGTCTATACATATATACAATGTAAAATATCTTCAATCAAGTTGTTATTTGATTTATTTCAGTTTTTATTACAAACTCATTGTTACCATCTCGGTACGTTCAGTGCTGACGTCTCAAAAATACTGAATGAAGGAGGTATTTACATGTATCCAGCTAACATCACGCATCCCGAGGGAAAGGTATCTTAAACTATTAATGATATACTAATGCTTAACATAATGAATTAAATGTATGAAAATGCTAATTTTCTCAACGCGATGAAGTAGGACAATTTAAGAATTTGTAAGTAAACCTTGCCAAGAGCTAAGTATCATGAGATATATCACTATTAATTGATGAACATGAATGTTCAAACTTTTCTCCAACACCGGTAATATATAGATAGATAGAAAGTAAACTTTATTCTGGGACAAGGCCCCTTATGAATAACAGATATGAACAAAAAAAAAAAATATAAACTACATCTGGCCAAAAATTACATTAGTCAATATTAAAGAATATATAGAATCTTCAGTAAAAAAAAAAAACATTATTTAAATGAAAAGAGATCAAAATAAAATAAACATGGGTTGATTTTTAACATTAAAACTCTATCAATTCTAACAACCATTCACCTCATTCAAAATCTGTTTCTTAATATTTATTTTATTGTATAACGTCATTTTGGGATGTGAGAAGGAATTGGTAAAGATGATATTTAAATGAGGACAAGGAAGAGGCATGGCGGATTTCAGAAGGAATTTACACTGTAATAAGTGCAATAAACATTTATGCATTTTGCTACTGTTTCTTGATTGGGTAAATTCAATTGACAAACTTACATGTAGGTACTATGTATAATAAGATATTTTATCAAGACAGTTAAAAAAAATGAAATAAATCAAGAAGTTAATAAAAGGGGAAGTTTAGAATATATATTTGTTGATGAAATTAACTCATAGAACATGGTCTCTAGGTCAATATGAGTAACCCCCCCCCCCTCCCCCCCCCCCAAAAAAAAAAAAAAAAAGAAAGAAAGTGATGATTTTTTTTTTTTGGAAAATTGTTCGTCTCGATTTCTTCCATTGTATGGTAAACGGACATACATTTTAGGCAAGGTCCCTTATTATTATTTTTTTTTTTTTTTTTGTTGCTTCTCGTTGCAAAGTTTGCATTTATTGGATCACACAAATTGATCTTTAGTCGATTCATTTACATGGATACATACCTGATTGCTTTCCACAGATACATCTCCTATATGAAGCGAATCCGATGGGATATATCTTGAGAGAAGCGGGTGGATACGCAACCGACGGATTTACTTCTATCCTCAACATCGAACCTCGAACCCACCACCAGCGAATTCCCTTCTTCGGAGGTTCCATTGAGGATGTAATCAGTATTATGGAATTGAAAACTATCTACAAAGCCAGAAAACTTAAATGAATATTGTGGCGATATTATTTGTTTTAAATATTAAAAGAGTAATATGCTTTCTGCTTTTTTATTTTCTTTTTACCAAAGTAATTACTTTAAAAAAAGTAATTTAGCGTGTTTATAGTAAGTTCTGTAAACAGTAAATGTTAGCTTATAATTGAAAACATTTCAAACCGATTTTTTTTTTTATGAAAAAAAACCGTCAACGGTCAAGAGTTAATAAAAGGGGAAGTTTAGAATATATAATATTTGTTGATGAAATTAACTCATAGAACATGGTCTCTAGGTCAATATGAGTAACCCCCCCCCCCCCAAAAAAAAAAGAAAAAAGAAAGAAAGTGATGATTTTTTTTTTTTTTTTTGGAAAATTGTTCGTCTCGATTTCTTCCATTGTATGGTAAACGGACATACATTTTAGGCAAGGTCCCTTATTATTATTATTATTTTTTTTTTTTTTGTTGCTTCTCGTTGCAAAGTTTGCATTTATTGGATCACACAAATTGATCTTTAGACCGTCGATCTAATTAATTTTATTCTGGGACTATTTAGCAAACTTAGCTTACCTTCCTTCCAATATGCGATTGGATGTCATGGAGTGTATATTCGATTTGCTGTTCTCTTCCGTCTTGATGATGCCTGAATTGGCGAAATATTGACGGTTTTTTTTTTTTTTTTTCCTCCATTTTGTAGACATAAGGCTGTTTGGTTTGGAATTTCTCCAAATATAAATAACATAACATTTATGTTGTGTTTCTTGATTAGTTACTGATTATTAGTAAATTTAATTGTCTTTCGCAAATCTATTTGATATAAACAAAATGGATACAGCACCCCAAGGTTTCAACCATGTTAAATTTGTCTGATATATGCTTATAGATAAATTTATTTGAAATCTTACCCTGCTTGTAAGGCAATACGGATGTTGAATGAATGAATGAAAATGAAAAAATAATTTTATTCTGGGACTACTGTCCCCTAAGAATAATAACAGAGTTACAAATTTATGTATCTTAGTCTGACATAATAAAAATACCAACTAATTCATTGTTAATTGTTATTTCAATTGTGCAATGGATTGAAATTAAATATTGTATAGATGCAAGTAATTTTACATGTTAGGGAAAGTTTGAATGTGGAGTAGGTGTTGGAACAGGAGTTGTTTGAAGGAATTTGTGGATGAGGATTGACCCATGGAGATAGGAAGTGAGTTCCATAAAGAAGCAGCACGAATGACGAAGGATTTGCTGAAGGAGGATGTTTTATGGGAGAGAATATATAAGTCTATAGGTTTAGCTGTAGTATTGAGAGAGTGGATAGAGGAGCGCAGAGTAAGGAGTTCCAGGATGTAAGGAGGGTTTTTAGTTCTGAAGACTTGGAAAAGGAAAACGCCAAGGAGGAATTGTCGTCGGGAAATAGGATAAAGTCACTTCAACTCGGTGTACCATAGTGAAACATGTGAACGCCTGGGGATCCCGAAAATGTATCTTATGAAGCAATTCATGAGTCTTTTTAATCTCATTTCCAGCCTGGCAGATAGCCCTCCATACACCAAGCAGCCGTAGTCGAAGTGGGGGAATACAAGGGAGGTTACAAGGAGCTGTCTGGTTTTTAGAGGAATATAATCACGAAATCTTAGGAGTTGTTTAAGGGTAGTTTTGGATTTTCGGGTAATCTGGGAGATATGATTATCCCAGGAGAGGTTCTGGTCAAAGGTTACTCCTAGGTTTTTGACTGTTATGCTGTTGACTGTTGATGTTATGCAGCAATCCAACAAATAACATTTTGTTTTCAAGCTGTGTACGCAGACTGTTCTTCTTTCAGCCAAAGTCTGCTTAAATCCTTTCTGGCGACCTTCCGGATGCAGGTATAGCTCATCTACCCAAAGGGAAGTAGATTGAACTAACGAGTTCCTTCCACCCGTACACGAAGACCATATATACATACACATTCTTTCGTTTTTTATCTCTGGCCAGTGGTGCCTACTAGGAGGATCGTTGCATCCTGAGGCGACGGCCCTGAATGGCAAATACTGTTCATTTAACTTAAGATATCATATGAATAATACTTTTCTTATTCACATTCAAACTTCTCCTGATGTTAATACGCTGTTCAGGCAAGGCGCAGGGTTAAGAGATCTAACACATGATTTTACACATTTGACCAGCGATGCACCTTATTACCAACAAATATTGCAGAATAGTGCAACGAAGCCGCCATCTACGGAGCAGTTTGGAAGGGGACAAAGGTTAATGTTCAATGCATGGCGGGAGAAATGGGGATGGAACGTTAAGGAGTAGCACAGTAATCACTTTATTATCTATATAAGAGGAGGGGAATGCCAAGCAAGCTAGCGCGTGTGCAAAACAAGTATTGCCCTGAGCAGCCCATCATAACAGACCTTTTTACCGGGAAAATCCCGTATAGCATAAAAGGTAAAAAGGGGGAGAAAAGAAAAGAAAAAAAAAACTAAGGTGTATGCTTTAGACCACACGATAGAAGTGAAAACATCATCAACAAGGCGAGATCATTAATATGAAATATAAATTATAAATAATAGGTTATAAACTCATTAAAACTGGGAAAAGCGGCTGGAATAGATGGCACTATACCAGAAATGTTGAAATATATAGGCTTAAAGGGAATCTAATTGTTGTGACACTTCCTTAACGTCGTTTGGAAAAAGAAATTTATCCCAAAGGACTGAGAAGTAATTCAGAATCCCAACTGTCTCGTCAGAGTCCCAATATGTCTCGTCGATACGATATTCTTGCCGGCGGCGATATGGCAATATAATTAGTTGTATTAATATCTATTTTTTTATGGCACTATAGGAGCACAGAATGCGATAATTCACAGTGATATAGAAAACGAGGATGTCATATCGCCTGGACATATCGCGTTCTGGATGTACAAGCCATAACCATGTATAATTTTTAAAAAATTTTGTTTCGTTAATTAAAATTATTTTTTTACTCATATGTTGTGAATGAAATTGATAACAGTCTTATGATAACAATTCTTCAACCGGTCAGCACACCCACCCGAAATGGAGGAAGTATTTTACAAGCAACTTCTTTGCCCCAAAGGCGTCATTTTGCCTAAAAAATCAATACGTTCGAATAAGGCAAAGTATTTGACGCTTACATGGTTTGTTAATAGAATCTTGAATGACTTTGACTCGATCAGGCTTATTATGGCGATATCTATTGCGATCAAAACCATATCTGCCACCCTAAGAAAGAAGGCAAGTGCAGGAATGTGAGTATTTCGGCATTGGCATCAAAGGTAACCTCTAAAGTTAAATATTCCGTTACCTGTACAACTAATATATTTCCTTTTTTTTTTTTTTTTTTTTTAGAGAATTTACAATTTTAGTATTAGACTTAATTTAATTTATTTTTTTTCTCTGATGGCATTACAGATCATGTAGATCTTTTGCCGCCTTAACAAGCCTGCTCCATCTCTGCTCGCCTTATGCTATTTCTTTCCATTTATCTGCATGCAGCTCTATTGCATCCTTCTTGATTCCATCTAGTCATCTGATTTTTAGCCTTCCACATGGTATTTTGCCTTCTATTGAGGCATTCATTGTTTTTGTAGGGGCTTCTATGTAGAGATGGATTGCTACGAGCTACATGCCCAGCCCATCTTAACCTACGTGCCTTCATATCATGGGGTATTCATCGACCAGTTTCTGTAAGCAGCTCTTTATTGCTATTTCTTCTGCATGTGTTAGTACTCTGGTCCCAGATCGCTTCGGTTATCATGAGGAGGATTTTTCTCTCAAATCTTTCAATAATTCGGGCTGAAGCTCCCCCCTCCACAAAATAGTAAAATATAACCATGTTTTGTGAAACAAATTATCTCTAAAAGAAGTATTATTGTTCGTCTAATTACATATAATAGGACTTAAAAAAACCACTTAAACACCATTTCATATACCTAGAAAGAATGAAATTAACTACCTAGTTAATTTCATTCTTTCTCCCGAAGTAATTATCCTAATATATATATAAAAAAAAATCTTTCGTGCTGAAGTCCTCCCAAAATTAAATCCTGGATCCGTTAGTGTTGTGGAACCGAGTTATTGAATTTTTCAACTCTCCGGAATGATTTTCCTTCTAGGCAGATCCTATTGGGGTGGAATTTTCAGCTTATTATCATATATTTATCAGTTCTATTACAAACAATATTCATAAAAAGTCTTCAAAACATGTAGAATAAATTTAGGTACCAGTTTCTCAGCGTTTCCACTATATATATATATATATATATATATATATATATATATATGTATTTTTTATTTTTATTTCTCTCTTGTTCAATACAATTTTCCCTAAGAACAAACTTAAAAATCCCTTCCTCCCCAATATATACAAAGTGATACGTAATTTATAAGGCATGTTCAAAATTAAGAAACATATTTTTTGAAGTGAAATTCTTCGTTAGCTGCACTTCTTTTTCTTTTTGAAATTCTTCTTAAGGGCTTCTTTTGTAGCTCATTCGGATTGTAAGGATTGGACACCAGAGGAGTTCGATGGTATTGTGGAGCCCCAAAGCTCTATTCAGCTTAAATATTACAATTTTTTTATCAAGTTGTTACATTTTTTTTTACCTAATTTTCTGTTTGCTTATTATACCAGCAGCTCAACTTCCGTTATCATTTTGATTTTAAATGAAATTGTCAATATTATTTATTACCGCAGGGCAATTTTGGATTTCCAGAACAATAGTCAAAATCTAACTGAAATAGAAATCTCTAATGAAATTTTTTTGCAAATGATCCAAGACACTGGTGTGGTCTGGCAAGTTGGCTGTGCAACTAGGCTAGAACCTGAAACGGTAACATTTTGGTTATTATAAAAATATGACTAAATATTGTACTAATATTATATTTAATAAAATAAGTAGTAAGTAGGATTTTAAAATGTATGCTTAAAAATAATACTTTTTTTGTTTTCTTGGCATTGCCAGCCTTAAGACATTTGACACTTTCAGGCAATGGCCTCATCTTTTCCTATGAAATTTAATTAATTTCTTATCTGTTTTATTTCAAGTAATATTTTACTTCATTTAATACATCTCGATTTGAATTAGAATTTATTTAATATGTGTCTGATTCAGTTACTCTAGGCTAAAATTAATTATTTTCATACCGGTGTAATTTTTTTTAGTTATTAGTAAGTGGTTTAGGGAGAATAATAAATTTTCAAAAAAATAAAAAATAAGACTGTTTAACACCAAGTAAAATCAGTCCTACTCTTGCGCAGTAAAACCTGGAAGGTGACTAAAAACGTTACCTGATCCCTTCAGACTTTCATCAACCATTGTTTGGGAAGAATCCTGAAAATGTAATGGTCAGAGATGATCTCTTATGAAAGCTTATGATGTACGACAGAGCAGCTTTCTATTGAGCTCGAAATAAGGAAAAAGAAATGGAAATGGATAGGACATACTTTGAGGAAAACAGATAGTGACATCGAAAAGAAGCTTTCCAATGGAATCCCCAAGGAACAAGAAGAGGAAGCTCTAGTGAGACATGGCAGAAATCTGTAGAAAAAGAACAGAGATGAGCAAGACGTGGCCAGAAGCTAAAAATGCGGGGGCAGGAGTTTACTCGAGAGAGTTTCAGTTCAGTGCTGCGGTGGGTGAGGATGGTACAAATTTTGACGGTGAGATAGCAGCGATCCTCATAGCTCTACGAACACTATCAGGAAGGCAAGTTCAGAACGCTGTTCTCTTTGTCGATTCGCAAGCAGCAATCCTCGCCATTATTAACGTGAATAAATGTATGTCGAGTGCTATCTTGGAGTGCAAATCCCTTCTCTACGATCTAACACTCCGAGGCACCAATGTGGTCCTTCAGTGAATTCCTAGCCATTGCGGTATTCCAGGAAATGAGAAAGCGGATAGTCTCGCCAGGAGGGGAGCAGAATTGCCACAAACAGTCCATCCAAAATCCTACGATTCAATTCGGCGAATGGTGAGGATGGTAGTGAAGGAGGAAACAAAAATTATGCACGAAGACAAGGTGGAAGGGAGACGTTATGGATGTTTGATGGAAAACCCTACCCCAGCTGACCTACCAAGAAGAGATGCAGTAGCCTGCTTCCGTCTGACCACTGGTCACGACTATCTACAAAGTCATCTCCACAAGATAGGCGTGGCTGAGGATCCTAGGTGTAAATTATGTGAACAAGCGGAAATGGATGCAGACCACCTAAACGAATGTCCTGCTTTGACGGATATAAAGAATCAAACATATGTAAATGATTACATACAAAAATCAAACTTATATTTGGCAGCAAGATGTCGGATGGTCGAATGACCAATGACTATGGCATAGGAAAAAAAAAAAAACTTGGCCAGAAGCACAAAAATAATGGAGTGGAAACACTCGTAAATGCTCTATGATCCATCAGGAGACAATGGTGATAATAATAATAACAAAAAGTGGTGGGCACCACCGTCCAAGCTGGCACCCTTGGGCATGTGTTGGTTGTCTTGCTTCAGGAACCCCTTAAACTACTCTATTATTATAGGAAGTAATTTCAAAGCAAAAGTAAATAATTTTGTGAAATTTTATAATTTCTGATATTTGCTATTGTATTTTTAAATAAATTTAGTAGCATATTAGTGCTATCAAATCTTTCGTTATATTCAAATATTGTAATTACTCTGCTTACAGTTTCATGAATACACAGATGCTAAATTCGTTGTGAACTTTTCCGCCCAAGAAGGTTCACAGGAGACAAACTGCAGTACTTCATCATTTGCAGTTTATAGGTAATAATTTGCATTCAATCATAAATTCCTATAAAAAAAATGACTAGTGATAATTATGGCTGTCATGGCTGAGTTCATCAGAGCAACAGAAAAGGGAATTCATTATTTAAAATATACAAAAACTGCCCGAGAAAGTATAGTTACATATATTCACACACATCACAACTATCAACACAATAATATCCATAATGAATTGTTGAAAATTTTAAATTCAGATGAAAAACAATTTGGTATTATGTGAAAATTGACCTCATAATAGGTCAATAAAAATTAAAGAAGTAATAAAATGTATAAATAAGTAAGCTTGGACTTGACTTGAACTCCAATTATACAACTGGCTCTTAAAGTAATTCTAATGATGGTATAGAATGAGAGAGTTAACCATCAGCACTTTAGAGCAACTGTCAGTTTTTATGAAATTTATTGGAGTTATTTCTAAGAGTTTTTTTTATTTTTTATTAAACGCCTCTGCCGTAGGCTATTAGGCCATTCGGCTTCTGGCAGCCCAATACAACTCCGCCATGAATCCTTTGTTTACATTCCGATCCCATCAGAAGTACTGCGGACATCTGACAGAGCGGGGCAAACTGGGAGGTGCAGGTCGTACATCTCGTCCTGTTGGCAAAGAGGGCACACAGGACTTTCCACCACTCCAATCCTGTGTAAATGCCTTTGCAGGTAATCGTGGCCTGTTGTCATGCGGAAGTTTGCCACCGATTCTTTCCTATTTTTGGTTTGTTTTATCGGCTCTTCTGTTAAACATTCCCATTTTTTCCCCGCTGCCTGTCGCTTTTGCCAACTCTTGTTCTCTTCATTGTAAAATGATTTTAAAATCCTTTTAACAGATTCATAGGGCAGCGGGGGATTAGTTTGTGGCATTTCCGAGGCGATCCGTGTGAGCTCATCAGCTTTTTCGTTTCCTGGTAGCCCGCAATGGCTTGGAACCCATTGGAAAGCCACTCCGATTCCTTTTTTAATTAACTCATAAATCCGATTTCTGGCACTAGTGACATCAGGATGGTCCAGGCCATTGCAGATCGACAGTATGGCTGCTTGTGAATCGACAAAGATTACAACTTGAGAATAGGTGAGTTCTTTATCTATTTCAGCCAATGCTGCCAAAATAGCTTTGACTTCTCCATCAAAGTTTGTTCCCCGGCTAACAGCAGGGATGGATAACATGAAATCTTGGCAGAATACTCCTGCTCCTGCATTCTGCATAGCTGTTTATTTCTAAGAGTGATATTAACTGTTTCTTTGTGACAAACTATATATACACATATACACAGTGGGAGCAGGATTTCAATGGAAACCCCTTATTAAATTTGCTTTATTATTATTATTTTATTTAATTTTTATAGAAAAATGGAAGATCCCTCTGTCGCCAACCATACTTTGCAGGCAGGTAATAACATTGTATTTTCTGGATATGCTGTTTATGGGTCTGGAACTGTTGTGTACCTCAGCCTTGAAGAAAACAGAGTAGATGGGTTCCTTCTTGATCCGGTATGTTCTCATTAAATTTATTCATTACTACTAACCCTTTCCGACAATGAAATAATCAACTAAAAAAATAATATAGTTAATATTTTAAACATTTTTGCAGGTAGCTAAATACTATTATTGAATACAACTGCACCTACACCTAATATTGAAGCTCAGCTTAATGTAATCATATAACAATTTTATCAAACAACTTTATTTAATCAAATGTTCTTGAGCAATCAATACTAGTAATATCATATATTCTAAATATAGACCAGAGTAAATTAATGTTAATTAGCTAAGTGGATTTAAAATGATGCAGTAAAACCAAATGAAATTCAACCTAAACATGCAACCTTATTCGCTCAATTATACATATTATATTTAATAAAAATAATAATATATTAAAAGAATATCTGGCCACAGATAAGTGCCAGCTTTTCTCAAAGATGCATGAATCTCTCCAACATGTAACCAATAGCTGCGCTACTCTGGCAGGGACGGAATACCTAATGAGGCATATTTAATGTCGCAAAAATATACCACCAAAGTGTATGTAGAACATTCGGACTACTGATGAGAGTGATGAGGTACCCTATTATTGTTATGCCATGAAAAAACTTAAAGAAAATAGAAATATAAAAAATTACCAGGGTTAAAATATAATAACGGACCATAAGATATTGCATAACCGTCCGGATATCTTGGTTATAAACAAAAGAAATAAAACTGAAAAAATTATAGACATAGCGGTACCTCGTGATACTAACATGATAACTACCAGGGCCGAAAAAATCAGAAAATATCAACAACTTACCTTCAAGTTAAAAACTCTATATCACTTAGAAAAAGTGAAGATTGCTCTAATAATCATATCTTCTAGTGGTTTAATATTGAAAAGCACAGTAAAGGTTACCCAATAACTTGGACTTAATTTGGCGCATTTAAAAGCAGCACAAAAACAGTCCTGATTGGTACTTGCAGGATTGTTAGAAAGTTTCTAAATAAGTAATTTTTTTGTTTACTTTTATCTACATTCTCTTTAGTGTTTTTTTTTTTTTTCCGGGTTGTGGATGCTATTCCAGAAATCTGAGACAGCTAAACAAATAATAATGCATTCAATAGAAAAACTATACATAAATATATAGAAATATAATTATAACAATAAATTATCTATAATTAATATCACAAAACTAACAGACTAAATACATTATAAAAACTTATTATATTTGCGATATATAAATTTAAATGAAGCATGAAATTTTCATTGTTGATGTTGAGACAGAACCTCCTAGCACTTTAGGTTAAGGAAACTCACTATTAGTGGAAACCTATATAAAAAAAAAATAAATAAATAAAACAATATCCTAAGAAAATGGAATTTATTTAACTATAGATATATATGTGAATCAGTGCCAGCCTTGGACATTTGGCACCTCTGGACAATTATTTGTTAAACTTTTTTATATAAAGTAGTATGTTTGAACTATATTTAATTCAATATGTGTCCGATTCCGTCACTTTGTTAATGGGCTAAAATTATTTATTGTCTACACTTTGTAATTTTTTTTTATTCATAACAAGTGGCCTACTTATATCTTGTCCACAAGAACATAAAAGCAGTTATATCAGAGCAATCCATATGAGGTCCTCATATGGATTGCTCTGATAATAAGGCTGCTCATAATGAGGAGAAACTTATCTCTTCCAAATATTTGGTTGATTTGGCAAACAGTTTTACTATTGATGTTTGATTTAATTTTGCCATTCTTCATTCATTTGTTTTTTTTTTGTAAATAGTTATCAATATATAATTTTAAATGTTTGAACATAGTCCACATGCTTTAACTACAAGTAATACTTGTTATGAAAAATTATTTATTAGGTTAGCAAAAAAGGTTTTTGGGAGTTACAAATCATTTTTAATAGTGGTTTTAGATTTTTTATCTGTTATTAATTAAAATTTGATGAAAATGTCTGTATTGTTATTATTCTTATGTATTTATAGGCAGTCAGTGAACTTGTTCTTATCGATGAAAACATAAAAATTCCATACAGTAGTCCGCTGTACACCATAAATGAAGCAATATCTTTCTATTATTCACAGAAAATACTGGACTGGTTAGAAGCCAAGAAAAATCCTTCAGTAAGTTACTTTAATTACTCTATGTGAAAAGTGAACTACTGAAAAAGTTTTAAATGGGATTTAAAAGTTAATTAATCTAAAAAGTGATGGATTTTTAGACTACAACGGTAATTCAAGATAATTATTATTGATCAAATTACAATGATATATAAACCACTTTTTGAATTTGGGTCTATCATATCTTATCCAGGTGTACTTGTGGATGTCCTTGGGTGGGAACATTGTACTGCTAATGACTAAACCTTTAGCAGCTGCCGGACTAATATATCATTCCATTGTCATTCCTTCCTCATTTTGTGAAGACTGACCTCTGATAATGGGCCTGAATTGGAGTTCTTTTCCTATCATAGCATTGAAGTCACCTTATTGCAGGTCATTTTTATGAGCTTATTTACAACATTTTCTAACAGATCACAGAAATCATTCTTCGCTGCTTCATCTTTATCTTCAGTTGAAGCATACATGGTAATAGTCTTGATATTAAATCAACCATCTCTAACTCGTAATACAATTACCATCTTGTTAATTGGGTTGAAGTTTATCATCGATTTTATTACCGCTTGACTAACTTCAAAACTTACATTCAACACAAACTTAACTTCAAAACATTTTTATGGTATATCTTGCTGCAATGCAACTCTTTCTGGGAATCGCTGCTTGTGCAATCACTTTATAGCCTTCACTTTGCTTGAGAGGTTGTTGTCTCAGACATTTAAAATATGGTCTCTTTTAACTATGCTTTGACAAGCTGTTATTCAAACTTTTGTATTCATTAAATTAGAAAATACTCAAATTTATTTTTAAAAAGGTAATGATTTTATTGATATTTATTTAAATAATTATTTTAATTTGCATATTATCAATTTTTAGGGTCAAATAAGAGCTAAGAGTAGATTTACTACATCAAAAGTTGCTGATGTTCATCGTATATTGAAAAATGGTGGAATATACTGTCATCCAATTAGTAAATATATGAATGTAACTAACCCAGTAAGTGTGGTTGATTTAAGATTTTTTTATTTTATTTTTCAAAAATTTATTGTAATGAGATCGTGTATGGAATGTATCCTAAGGTTTATCTACAGTATAAAGCATATGTTTATAACCTTAAATACATTTATTGCAGTTTATACACTTACTATATAAACAAACATATTTTTATTTTATGAAAGTTGTTTGTCGTAATATTATATGAGCCGTTTATTTTGAAAGTCCTAACTCCGTTTTTCAATTTTTTGCCGGTTATCATGGTTACATGTACAACTTCATACTATATATCAGTAAAACATTTCAGGTAGCTTATATTCCGAGCAAATACGATATATTTTTGACACATAAGTTTTCAGAATTAGTTCAATAACTGAACCGTGTAGTTCAAAAGTGGCCTAACTCCATTTATTTTATACTTACATCAAGACATTTACTATTGATAATGTTCGTTCCCCAAGATTATTAAAAAGTGTTGGAAAGGTAATAATTTTATTGTAAATGAAATGAGAGAAAAAGATTTTGTATCAACAAAATTATTAGAAGACACAATTTTTAAAAGGGTAAAGAATTCTGATGGAGAATCAGTAGACTGGTTACAAATAATTTGGATGTGTTTTATCAGAAATGAACCATATAAAATTTTCTATAAGACAACAATGAATGAGAATAAAAATGTTTAAGTCCTGAATTTATTACCCCGTCGAGGTAGACCAAGAAAATTCGAAAATATTGTATTGACACCACACTATAAAAATATCAGACAAATTATAACAAAATTTAAGGACATGATTGACTTATTGGGATATATACCACCGGAACATCATGACTACTTCAAATTCCTTTCACACGCGCAAAATTTAGATGAATAGTAAATTGTTTGTTAATCCAATGTTTGTAATTTTGTATGTTCTATAATTAAAAAATGTTTTGAATCGCATAGATTGTGTTTCCAAAGTGTTTTAAAGTTATATAAAATAAATTGAGTATTGTGTTTTTCAATTGGATACATCTTAAATTATATTGAATGGACTTGGATACCTGCAAATTTTATAATGAATCTGGTTGTTAATTTTGAAAGTGGCTTAACTCCATTCTTGATAAGAAAACTCACATTAATCACTTAATAATTGCTACCATTTTAATAGGAACCATAAATTTAACACCATTAAATACCCTTAAGCAGTATGACTCATTAATATCCTATACGTGCATTTTTAAATTCATTGAAATGCAAACTCTTAAATATCTCAATTCGAAGATAAATGGAGGTAGGCCACTTTCAAAATAAACGGCTCATATATTTAATTAAAAACAATAGTAATATGTGATGGCTAATATGAAAAAAAAAATAGAGAGAAAGAAAGAGAAGCATAAGAGAGCGAGGATGTGACAAAATGTTGGAGGGAAGCAAGGAATGAAAGAGAAAAAAAACTTTAGAGCAATGGTCTCCAAACTACAGCCCATGGGCCGGATACCCACAAGCACCTTGAGTCCGGCTGTAATTTCTGTGATTACAAGGGAAAACTTCAAAAACTACATAAAAAATATGAAATTCAGTAAATCACTCATATACGAGGTTAATACAACCTTTATTGTATAAGTTTTTTCTCTTAGGAAGCGCATTTCACCGCTGTAGTGTCATTTATAGAACAAGATTTTTTTTTTCATCTCAGAGAGATCTTAATACGCATAGTGGACATTGTGGAGCCGTCATGGGCCAAAATGTTTAGAGACTCCTGCCTTAGGGCAATTTTCAGTTCATGATCCTAGATTACCAGACGTATCTTATTTGTCAATATTTTTTATTTCATACAGGGTTTTATCCTGGGTCAGGTTTCCCATTTTTATTAGACATTTTTAACCTCCAGAATTTTCCATTAGTCCCTGTCTGTTGCCACCCTGTACACAAGCCCAAAACTGTCTTATCTCAATAATTTCCTTGATTGAGCATATCTTACGTTCCTCTATGACCATCATTCTTAACCCGATTCCTTCTTCCTTTTTTTTTTTTTCTATTTTATAACAATTCTTTGTAGACATTTCATTTCTGTGGCTAAAATCAGACTAGGCAGTCTACCCTTTAAGACTCAGCTCTCAACTCTGTACAGTTGAATTGGAAGATACATCATCATAAATCTTGCATGTTGCCCAATCTCTCTTTTTATTATTTTATTTATTAGTCCAAATTTGCTTTTCCTATTTTATGAGAGCATGTGAATGAATGAAAAAAAAAAAAAAAAAAAAATTGAGACTAAATACCCTTAAGTTGTAATGACTATGTACATTAGACTGGCTAAATATTTATGAAATGATTCTTGTCAATTATCTATTAGAAGTAATTATTATTAAAGAAATAAATAGTGCTTACATCATAGTAGTACTTTGAACATGAAATAGTTGAAGAAATAAGTATTGCTTAAAGGAATTTGTGAATGAGGATTGATAAATAGAGATGATTAAAAAATGTCAAAATATGGAAAAACAAATGATGAAATATTTGTTAAAGGACACAAACAGATCCAGGATTTAATTTTTTTTGGGGGGGAGAAGCTTCAGCCTGAAAACTTCATTTATATATATATATTTATAGAAAGAAATTGACTATCTATATGAAATGGTGTTTAAATGATTCTTGAACTCCTATTAAATAAAATTACATGAGCAATAATACTTCTAGAGATAAGATTTTAATTTTTATTTCATAAGATATGATCATGTCTTACCATTGTGGGAGGCTTCAGCCCGAAAGTTTCCCCACCCCCTTTATAGATCCGCCAATGCTAAAGGAAGTGGTTTCATGGGAAGTGATATATAGATCAATCGGCTGAGGTCTAGTGAACAGAGGAAAGAGAGTAAGTAGTTGAATGAACAGGATGAAGGGAGAGTTTTTGGTTGTGAAAACTTGGATAAGGAACAAACCAAGGAAGTAGTGTATTAGGAGAAGTAGTAAGGAAGTAGATAGAATAAGGAAGTAGGATAGAGCCACTTCAACTCATTGTGCCAACATAATGAGAACTATGTTATCAGTATATAATTCTGATTGGCAGCTGGAAGAAAAATAAATATTCCTTAGTAAATAGTCTCTGTTCATCATTTCCATATTATGAAGATTTCATCCATGCAGAATATTAGCAAAGGGCTTATAGAATAGGAGCCAATTTATTTGGTGGACAAATGTAAAGCTACATATACTCTTAACCCATAGTCTTTATTGGGTAGAAATAGTTTTGCCAAGTCTTGCTATCCACACCAGGTGTATTTTGGGTGAAATTTTAACTCAATTAAGCCTTTTTTTCCACATAATTTCAGGTATTCTGGAAAAGCTTTTATCACTACTATACCACTGTATGTCATGAGGTCTAGAGCTGTGTTATCTCTTCCTGGATCTTTTTCAGTCTTCATATTTTATTAAATATGAATATTATAGTTTTAACTCGCTCCACTTCATTTTGTTTTATAATACCCTTGCCTAATGCTATGTGAACTGAAGACGATCTGCATTAACGTAAACAAACCTTGTAATATAATTAAGATCTAAGAAGAATTATTAAAAGTCCCTTGGAAGGGCTAATATTGAAATAACTTAGCTCCGAACTGCAACGTTTATACAGAATGAAAATAATAAATAAATAGAAAAACAATTTTTAACACAGACAGTTTTAGAGATAACAGTCTAATCTCATGTGCTTACTGTTATCTGCAGTTTTTCTTATTTTATCAATTTTAAAAATGTAATTTCATTGAATTCTATGGAATATACCATAATTGATACACCATATACCATAACTCTAGAACATACCATAATTCTATGGAATAACCAATTTATTAATTTTTTTTTTTTTTTTTTTTTTTTTTTTGTAGCATCGACTTGTATACGAATGTCAACCTCTGGCTCACCTAATCACCCAAGCAGGTGGCTTAGCCACTGATGGAAAAAACTGGTTGCTTGATATCATTCCTCCAAGTTTACATTGCATGACTCCTTTCTATGTGGGATCTGCTTATGAAATAATTTTTCTTTTAAGGTATCTTAATCAAGATTTACTAAAAAATCAAGGAGAAATAAATGAGGATGAACTACTAAGACAAGAAGAACTGTTAAAACAGGGGGAACAATTAGAACAGAAAGAACTTTCAAAACAAAGAGCAAGAGATTAATAAAATGTTTCTATTTAAATAATAAAATAAAATGACTGAATACTTATACACGAATTAGCCTACAATTAATTTTTACTAATTACAAAAATAATTTCTTATATCTTGAAAATAATTTGTGTGACACAACAAACTTATAGTAAGAATTCTTAATTCATTAATAACCGATTGTATTAATTTGATTAAAAATTACTAGTTTTCAATATTGAAGCAGACTTTGGTCTTGGAATTAGATTTCAATTGTTGCTTGTTTCTGTTACACTTATTATCAGATGAATTTCAAATGACTTGAAATGCTGTTGGGCTTATTTTAGACCTGTAAAAAGTATATTGAAAAATTTCTGTCAAGTAGGATCCGTAAAGCCTCCCCATTATTTCTATTGGCTACATATTTACCTATATTTGAAAGTCTTATAGTTAGTCAATAAAATAATTGTTCTTAATTAATCAAATAAAAACGAAACAGAACATACTTTTTCAGTTAGAAAAAAAAAGAAATATGATAAATTATTATATTGGTTTGAAGAAATGTTTCTTGGTTGTAAACGGTTATAAATAACTAGCTATTTATTTAAACATAACTTTTAATGGTTTTTGAGGATAAATAATTTTTCAAATGAAATTACAAAACAGTTCTAAATGATTTAATATTTATATACAACATATTAATATTGGATATAATAATGTGGATATTAGTATTTAATAATAACACAAATATATAATGTTATAATAATAAACTCGGAATATCTTTCTCCTTTTTTACACACATTACTCCAATTTTTATTTTTTTTAGTTTGTACTTTTCTGGACAAACAAAACCAACACTCTTTTTGTGTTCGCCTACTTCCATACACATAAAGAATCTGAAAGGAAATAAAAAAATAAATCTGGTTAAAATAGTTTTTAAGCTACGACTAAAAGTAAAATTATGACCGAAAATAAATGCGTAATTGGCAATACTAGAAATGTTTAATACTATAATGTAATTATTGTATACATATACTTTTTTGATATAAATATTTTTATATAAGTTACATTTAAATTAATATTTGATTTTTTAAATTCGGTTCATTATTTATAAAACAATTTTTTGGTGATTTTTACCAGCATTAAAACTCAGTTTTTTTTGTCTTTTTCTTGTTTTTATATTATTTTAAATTAAATATTTATCATTTTTCATAAACTCAAGGCCATTATTTTCCACCAATGTTTTAATTTTTTTAATAATATCATATGTGATGACATTTCGGCCAGTAATTGGCCCATTTTTAAGTCTTAAATCAGGTTTCTATCGCCGTATCCATTGTCAATATCCTCCTTTCTTTAGCTATGAAAAGTAAAAATGTCTTTATTCATTCATTGGGGTATTTATTTAAGCTCTTTTTACTGATACATGAATGTGATCAATATTGGGATTTAGATACTTTAAAAGATCTGTTATCCACTTTGATTTTTTATGTTCTAATTAAATTATGTGACTTAGGGAAAGAAAATATTAAAGGAATATACATAAAATTTAACTACAGATTTTTTTTTTGTGGCAATAACATTATAGAAATTAAAAATAGTTAGATCTTATTTAAACTGTGCTTAGAGGTGCCGACCTCTAGCCCATATAAATTTTTCTATAAATTAAATTCCTTAATTTCAGCTGCACTTGGTCTTATTTTAATAATTTTATTTTTAAATGAAATGACTGTAAAAGTGCTTTCTACTTCAAATTTTGAAAAAATATTGCAGCTTAAGTTCTTTTCTTAAATTTAATTAAAGCCTATGCAATACAGCATGCCTCAGTCAGTTATACTAAAAAATTTACTTACACCTGGGGATTTTCTTCATTTGGATAGAAACCGTAGTCTTCGCATGATTTATCGCAAGGTGGGGTATTCCTTATGGAATATTCTGTATCATTAGGACAAATAGTCATAGATTTTGGAACTTTATTAAAACACTCAACATAAACCTTGTTGCTTCCAGGATGTGGTACATACCGGAGACTTTCATTTGAGCAATCTGGCCTTGAGAAATATACCATAAGCTGTTATTTTATTTTCATAATATTTTCAGTTTATAAAACAAGAAAAAAATTTATCAAAACATACTTTACTACCTTTTACACCTTGCCCATTTGTAAAAATTCATACATTTCTGCTTGCTTGGTTCATACGAAGTGTTTTCAGGGCAAACGTTATCTGTTGATTCTCCATCTTTACATGTGTAATAACCTTTACAATCGTTAATGTGAGGATAATTCCCATCACCTGTAATGATGAATAAATAATCAGATAATAAATATTGATTTATATCAAATTACAAAAAGAGAACTATGCCAGTGACAGGTTGGTATTTATCAATGCATAAAACATATTAATTATTCAATAAAAAATAGTTTTGTTTTTAATCATTATCATTAATCACGGTAGTATATTGTGGTTACAAATACAATTTTATGGATAAATACCATATACGGAGGCACAGCTAAATGAACTAGTGTTCTGCGGGGAACTTCAAGATTCCTTAAATAAAAAAACATTCATTTATAAAATTTTGTTTTTTGGTATTACCTTCATAGTTTAACCTTCCTATGTATACCCATGGCTATAGATCTTCATGAATACTTTTAGAAAAGAGTATGAAAATAAATGTAATTAAATTATTATTTTGTTGATACTCAGGACCTATAGTCGATGTTATTCTTAATAATATCAGGAAATGAGGTATTGATTATTATTTAAGCACAGTGATTGCAGTTAACTTAGATTGTTCTTTAGTAAAAAAATGAAGGATTCGTTTGAGATTAAAAATAATATTTAAGCAATGGACAAAAGAATCTTTAAGCAGCCTTGTATATGCAGTAGAGATGATTATGAAGAAAAAATATCAGAAGGAGTTAATCGAGGGGCGGGGGGAGGGGGTGCAGTCTAATAAATACTAAATTAAAATATAGTAATTAATTAATTTTTGCCGACATTTTGACCCACTTTGCAGGTCGTCTTCAGGGCTACAAAAGATACAAAACATGGTGAAAATAAAAAAAAGAATATTAGTAGATATAAAATAAGAAGAAGTTGTCAGATACAGAAATAAAAAGATGACATCAGAGATATCATGTCACCCACTATATCTCTGATATATTTTTATTTTTGTATCTGACAACTTCTTATTTTATATCTACTTATATTCTTTTTTTATTTTCACCATGTTTTGTATCTTTTGTAGCCCTGAAGATGACCTGCAAAGTGGGTCGAAACGTCGGCAAAAGTTAAATAATTACTATATTTTAATTTAGTATTTATTTGACCGCACCTCCCGATTAACTCCTTCTCATATAATATCAAAGATCAACCATCTCTACATCATTAAGAAAAAATATCATTTCTTCTAGGTTGATATATAAGATCTTCATTGTCCTAAGGGAGATACTTATTATCTGAGGTATATAAGTAAGAATTTTTGTTAACAGTATTTATTCTCCCAAAACAATCTTTCCTCATTATATTATGACCTTTCAGGATCTACTTGCATATTCCATCTTCAGACAGTATCTTCATCCTATATCCTCTTATTTTTTATAAGATTTGTCATATTATTTATTTAAATTTTTTATTGTCATATTTCATTCCTTGAAATTATAATGTTGTTTCCTCTAGGGAGAGCCTAGTGAGATAGTGATTTTCTGTCAAATTGTTTTTATTGGTTGCCCTCTTTTCCAATATGTATTTATAATATAAATATTTACCCTATTTATTCTTAGCACTAGTTTTGTTATGGTACTACTTATGTAATTATATCTAATATTTATTTATGTGTATGATTTATCTTTTATCTTGGTTTGTTACTGTTGCTTCTCTCAATATCTCATATTTCTGATTTAATTTTAATTTTAGTCATAATGATGAATCACAAAATTGGGTCAAAATGGTAGTAATCATAATAAAGAGCGCCTGGGCTTTAGACATTCGGCGCCCTCGGGCAATGAAATCAATCCCCCTCCTAAAAATATTAAATTGATTTCTTAAGCTGTTTTATATTATACAATATTTTATTTTATTCAACATTTCTCTAATACATTTGCTTTATTGATAGGCTAAAATTAATTATTTTAATGCGTTTTGTAACTTTTTTATTTAAGTGGCGAGTCCCTTAAGATCAGCCGGTGCTCCCCGGGTTTCCCCGCCCTAAGGCCCTAAGCACTGACAATAAATATATTTTGATTGAAAACCCTGTTTATCATCCAAGATAAAGATTGAAACGGTCAATGAAAATTTATTTTTAAATTATTTCATCTAATTTAACTTATTAGGAAATATTAAAAGCTATTAAGGAAGGAGATGGTCTGGGGTGGCGATTATAAATAGACTAAATATTGGCAAAGCTATTTTATCAAAAGCCAACGTTTCGACCAGACTTTGCAAGTCTTCTTCAGGGCTAGAACGGACGAGATACAAAAAGGTATAGATAATTGTGGAAGTTACATAATATTTAGACAAAAAATTATAAACATTGTCAATAAACCCACAATTCCCAACATAAAACATCTAGAACCCCTCTGCTTCCAAACTATCAGAACATGCCTTAACCCTCAACCATTCATTTGATTTTGAAAAAACCTCTATTCTTGCTACGATCTCTAACCATGAAAAAAAAGACTCTTTTCCGAATCCATCCACATTCATATGGAACAGAATCCTGTTAATCATAAAGTAGATAAAAACTGCATTTCTTTTACATATAGGCACATTTTAAATCTTATAAGTGAAAAATAATTTATTTAATATATCTTATTATTTTTTATCTATTTTCAATTTTTATTGATTAATTTAATTTAATCGTTCAATATTTTTAACTATTTCCGCTTTGTATGATCTCTCTTTTATTTTTAATTTTATATTCACATTCAACATCAATGAATGATCATCCGTTTTTACTTTGTATTCATTGTACTTTTTAACCATTATGTCTCAGTATTACACTAGCGGATCCAGGATTTAATTTTGGGGGGAGGCTTCAGCCCGATAGATTTTTTTTTCATATACATATAACAATAATTAATTTGAAAAAAAAAAAAGAAAGAAATTAACTACCTACATGAAATGGTGTTTAAGTTGTTTCTGAAGTCCTATTAAATGTAATTACAGGAACAAGAATACTTTAAGAGATAGTTTTAATAATTTTTTCTGTAAAACATGGTTATATTTTACCATATTGGGGGAGCTTCAACCCGAAAGCTCCCCTCTCCCCCGTAGATCCACCTGTGCAATATTATATAATATTTAAATGTAATATTCATATGTACAACTAAGTATAATTATAATTAATCATATTTGTTTCCTCTCTATACTTCTAAATTAGTTCTGCAATGTATGATCTCTTATTTTTATATTTACATTTTACTTTTATTTACGTGTTTTATTTACTTTTTTTTTTTTTAATCAGATTGTACTCCTATCTATAATTTCTTAATTCTATTTTATATGTATATATTTATAATGATGTAGAGATGGTTGACCGTTGATATAATATGAGAAGGAGTTAATCGGGGGGTGCAGTCAAATAAATACTAAATTAAAATATATTAATTATTTTAATTTTTGCCGAACATTCAGTGTTTCAACTGCCTCCCGCAGTGCTACATCCCACGCCCTGAAGACGACCTGCAAAGTGGGTCGAAACGTCGGCAAAAATTAAAATAATTAATATATTTCAATTTAGTATTTATTTGACCACACCCCCCGATTAACTCCTTCTCATATTACATCAACGGTCAACCATCTCTACATCATTATGAATGCATTACCACGGGGTTAACAACAAGATACAAATCCACAATCCATACAGTGTTTCAACTGCCTCCCGCAGTGCTACATCCCACGCCCTGAAGACGACCTGCAAAGTATTTAGTATTTATTTGACCGCACCCCCCGATTAACTCCTTCTCGTATATATTTATAATTTATTAGTACATAAATATAGTATTTTCACTTTTATCCACCCATATCTTAAAATTTTAGATACTGTAATGTTTCAGATTTTGTTTTACTTTTATTACTTACCCCCTCACCATTTCCCAACCAGGTTTGGCAAATTTCCCCGAAGGTGCTTACTCAGGTTTTCCAGTTCTAAGTGAAACTCCTTGCTGAACACACCTGTAAGTCTCTATTTTTATTTACTTATTTTTTTGGTTTTCTTTTCTTTCTCCACATCTCTTTATGTCCATTATTTTATGTTATATCCTTCTTCCTTTTCTTCCAATCTCTCCTGTAGATCTGTACGAGTATATTCACAATTGCATATATTATATTATACAACAATTGTTACCATCTATTTACTTCCGTTTAGGATCTTGTTGCTTAGCTTACTCTGTTTATATTTTAATGTACTTAATATTTGTAATTTTAATTAGTTTATTCACATTGTTAATAATTTTTTGTCTAAATATTATGTAATTTCCACAATTCTCTATGCCTTGTCCGTTCTAGCCCTGAAGAAGACCTGCAAAGTCGGATCGAAACGTTGAATTTTAATAAAATAGTTTTGCCACTGTTTAGTCTATTTATGACCACCATCCCGCACCATCTCCTTCTTTAATAACACAATGGTCAACGATAAAATATTCAATTAAAATCTTACCTTCACACTTAAATGATTCTGATTCTTCAGAATGAACATATCCTACATTTGAAAAATTATAAATCAGGAACTGTAAAAAGAACAATTAATTAAAGGTTAAATTTACTGTTTAATTAAAGTATTGATATCTACTAGCATAGGTTAACAAAATCTGTGCAGTTTTCACATTTTAAGTTCCTAAAAGTAATTTTCAAACAACTTCTAATATCTAACAACAAAATAACTGTTTATTAAATATTTTAAACTTTTTTTGAAGTACATATTATGTTTAATTAAGTTTAACAAAAAAGATAAAAGATTTTTCTTTAATTTAAAATTTTTTGTACCATTGTTAACAAAAATGAAATAAACAATTAACAAAAATATAAACAATATAACGTCGTTTTGACCCACTTTGCAGGTCTTCATCAGGGCTACAAAAGATACAAAATATAAAAGATACATGGTGAAAAAAAAAAAAATTAATATAAGTAGATATAAAATTAGAAGTTGTCTGATAAAGAAATAAAAAGATAATATCAGAGATATAGTGGGTGACAATGTAGTTAAAATATCAAGTATTATATATATAGAAGATAAAAACATTTGTTTGTTATATCTTTTGTAGCCCTGATGAAGACCTGAAAAGTGGGTCGAAACGTCGGCAAAAAAAATTAAATAATAATATTTCTATTATATCATGGTCAACCATCTCTACATCATTATTTTATATAGTTTCTTTCTTTGTCTTCCATAATAATTACCGTTTTTTTTTTAATATCCGAGCTGCTCCCCAAAATTAAATTCTGGAGCAGTTACTAGTGATCTCCAACATATAATTGATGGGTATCACAGGCGGATCTACGGGGGGGGGGGGGCGGCTTTCGGGCTGAAGCCCTCCTCCCCAAAATGGTAAAATATAACCATGTTTTACAGAAAAAAATATTAAAAACTATCTCTTAAAGTATACTTGTTCGTGTAATTGTATTTAATAGGACTTCAAGAACCACTTAAACACCATTTCATATAGGTTTTTAATTTTTTTTTTTCAAATTAATTATCGTTATATGTATATGAAAAAAAAATCTTTCGGGCTGAAGCCTCCCCCAAAATTAAATCCTGGATCCACTAGTGATGGGTAGGACAGTGTTGACTCATATATATGGGCTATAGAAAATGGTAGATTATTAAGAATAATTTCAACTTAGTTAATAGTTTTCGGAATTCGTTTGATATGACCTTGTTCTGCATTCCATATCATATATAATAAATTCTGGGCCTATCTTTTTTTAAATTCTAAATACCTTATTTTTGAAGAAGCGAAGAAAGAGAATATTTTTCGTGCTCTTTAAACAGTAGGAAAGATAAAAGTCTAGTACATTGATCTGAAACGAGAGATTTGCGTAGAGTGAATTTCGTTTCTTTTAAATAGTTCAGAGCCAAGTTTAATAACTTCAATACTTACCTTTTTCATTTTTAATAACTAAGATACGTGAGGCCCTATATTGAAGCTTTGTGAGGAGGAGAGGGGAGCCCAAGCGGATCCAGGATTTAATTTTTGGGGGGGGACTTCAGCCCGAACGATTTTTTTTCATATATATAACTATAATTAAATTGAAAAAAAAAAAAAGAAAAACCCATATGATATGGTGTCTTAGTGATTCTTGAAGTCCTATTAAATGTAATTACACGAACAATAATACTTTAAGGGATAGTTTTTAATATTTTTTTTTCTATTAAACATGGTTATATTTTACCATTTTGGGATGGGGGCTTCAGCCCGAAAGCCCCCCCGTAAATCCGCCTGTGGGGGGAGGGTAGGTGATTATGAGATATTGAGAAAGTGCCTGAGTGGCAACACTGTGTTGTAGCGGGCCCAGTTAGTGAAGTTATCAAGCAAATGTATTTTTTTTGGTGAGAAAAGTGTTTTATTTCAAGCCAACATTACAATCCAAGATTAACATTAATTGGTTATTTTCCTCTGTTAGATATGGTTTTTGTTTATGAAGTAGAGTTACCGTAGAGTGTTTTCGTCCTTTCACCGGCAGTAAGTTATTGCTATATTTAATATAGAGTAAATAAAGGTTATTATTTTATATTTCATATTTACATCCTTTATAATAAGAATCTCTAACTTCATTCTACTTAAGGGGACATTTATAAGTTAATATTGAAGTGGAGGAAACCAATAGGTGATTTTTCATTGTTTAATATTGTTAATAATTAAAAGAAAATGAATAATTTTAACTTATGAAAAAAGTACTTCTTATATAGAATTAACAATGGTTTACTACGTAAACATTTTTACTTTCCTACCTATACTAGGTAAGGAAAGTATTGCAATCGGGTCAAATTTCCGACATGCGGTTTTCGACGGATCTATACGTTTCAGAGTCTCCTGAGTCCGAAAAACACATTTTTAGCCGTTGGTCTGTCTGTCTGCCTGTGCCAAGATTTTCTCGGGAACTACTGAACCGATTTTGTTGCTTCTTTTTTTATTTTGTAGCGTTTTGACTACTGATGGCTGTGACTGAAATTCGGTGCTCCATGCGCAATAGCTTGCGCGCAATAAATGAAAAACATGTTTTTCTATAGACTGTAGCGCAAAAACGGCTCTAAAGATTTTGATGAAACTTTCCTATAATGTTCTAATCATTGTTCTTTCAATTTTCGTATATAGAGTAAATTCCCTACAAATCCATATAAAAATCGTTCGTTTTGGACAAGTATTAACGAAGTTGCAGCTATTCAATTTCCAATGTAAGATTACGGTTACATATCCTGGTGTCAGAAAGGGGTGAATGAAAGAATAAAGATGACTAAGTGAATGTAACAAAATCTGCTGCCCGCATCACACAACCTTCACTATTTCCTATACTTTCAACAGAAATTATTGTTTGTCAATACTAAGCTATGCCAAAAAGTTTTTGATCAGCAATATTAGGAAGTATTGAATTTTTTACACTGATATATCTTAAGCCGGTTTACATTGCTTTAGTTTATCAAATAAATCGTACTCAAATCTTATGTTTGATCAATTTTCAGGAAAATGTATCTAGTTCAATTCTTTTTTGTTTCTTCATGAAAATATGTAAAGATATAAAAACTTTTTGAAATAGGTAGGAAAGTCGTGTGATTGGACACACCAGATTTTTTCATATGTGCTTATTTTAGGTGAAAATTTTTGTAATGTTCTTGATGGCTTACCGGCCGAAACGTAGCTATGTAAATTGAAGTAAATATGGTGAAGATATAAAACGTAGCCTTATTTTATAATAATACATTTTTTTTTATTGTTGGTATTACAGACCACGTAGATCTCTCGCCGCCTTAATCAGCCTTTTCCATTTCTGCTTATCTTGTGCCATTTCTTTGCAATTATATTCATTCAGGATGAGGAATATATTTATAGCCATCTTACCTTGCTTCTCGGCAAATACGGTGTTTGGAAGAAGTGTCATTTCTACCGTCTATAGTCAAACTTCTTCGTTTTTACACTTTGCTTTCCTTCTACTTTTCATTGAAGATTGTTAAAATAATCACCTGTTACTGATTCCTTCCACTTGTACATGAATGTTTCATAGTATGGGTAGTGTTAATTTATTACTAGTCTTTTTTTATTAAGCCTTTATTAAAAAAATCGTCCTCCGTGATAATATGGAGTCAAATTTCTTTCTGTTACTTGGCCCTTATTCTGAAAAGTGGTTAAGGTCTTGCACGAAGCTAGGCACGAAACCCCTCATGAACTGAGAGAAATTATAAAATATTTAAGTTGTAATATATTCCCAATTAAGAAAGTAATACTTTCAATTAAGGAATGACGGTTATTAAGGATTGGAATAAGTGTAAAATATCTTTGAAAAACAAGCTAAAAGAGACCTCCACGCGGGACCTAGCCACATAAAAAACCTATACCATTACAACCCATGAAGGGTCTTGGGTTCAGCACTATTTAGGAATAGTACTGTTTCTTAGTCAACGGTTGTTTAAGGAGGTGATTGGACCGCTCAACCGCCAGGTTTTTCTACTTAATTAAGAGTACCCACTTTATAGAGACTGGTTGTGCCCCAGTTGTGCGACTACCTAGAACGACCCACGACCGATGAAACAGAAAAAATAATTAATCTGTCATAAACCGGGATTCGAATCTGAGCATTCAAAGCTCAGGGCCCTACCAGTGAGCTATCCCATTCGAAGAAGTATTCTACTTAAAGTAATAAAATTAGAATTCAAAACGTATGCGTATGTTATTGATTGTAAAATAATTATTTACTACATATGTTTTTTTTTATTTTTTGTTTTTTTTATGGTTATGTAGGAGCAGAATAACCATATTATATTATTTACATATGATATCGATTGTTTATCAAATTAAATTAAATCATATGGGTTGTCCTACATCGATGTAGGAGCAGGGCAACCCATATGATTTAATTTAATTTGACAAACAATCAACATCATATGGGTTGTCCTGTTCCTAGAGTTATATTTGTTGTCAGACAGACTATAAGTACTATACATAACATAATTAGATGAATATAGGAGTTAAATAAGAAATGAAAAGGGGTTCACAGTATTCTAAGTGGATATATTTGAATAATGAGCCTGCATGGATAAATATAGAGCCCCCATACTTAAGACATGCTAAAAGTGTCGAAAAAAAAGAAAAACGACCGATTAAATCTGAACCAAAAGAAAAGATCGAGGTGAAAAAGAAGCCATCGAAAGATGAAACACGAGGGGAAATGATCAAGAATACCCGATACTCATTTACGTCATTTATAATACCTCTATGTATCACTGGTCATAGAAAAGATTACCAATTGTTATACTGCATATGTGCTTTGAAAAAGGCTGTTAAAATAATGAGTTCAGCACTGAGGAAGGATGGTTTTGCGCAGTTGTGAGTTTGTTAAGCCATTCAAAATTTGAGAGGTATCATCAGTCCATTATGTTACATTCAAATAATAATGACACTTCTTCTGGGTAGCGAAAGGGAGTACCATGATAAATCCCATGTATAATAAGAGAGTTAGTTATCTTAGGTGATTTTGTTTTATTATTTTCAATAATCAACTTTTGCAATGGACGAAAAAAAAAAAAAAAATTAACTCCCCCAAAGTTTGATGTACGTAGAATCCGAAAATCCAATAAAAAAAATTCACGCATCCTCCATCCTCGTCTTTCCTCCTAGACTACTTGACCGATTGTTTTGAGATTTCGTATCTATCGGGATCACCCTAGGAAGATTCTCAGAACATGGCATTACCATCCGCCACTTCGTTTCAAGATGGCGGCCGAAAAATCTGTGTCGCTGTAGACTGTAGCGCCTAAACGAATGTACAGATTCTAATGGAACTTGGCTAAAGTCTTTTCTCTTAAAGTACTTTAAATTTATATATGTAACCTACTTCACCTAAAAGAAGCTGATAAAACAGTTATGAGGGATGGTAAAATTAGATTTCCGAAGTACTCAAAAAGTTTACTTCTTTTTGTGATTTTTATAATCAGGTGCCCGGCTTAAAAAGGCTTAAAGAAAACCGGCTTGTTTTGGAAAATATTGGAATCTTGAAAATTTTCGAATCTGAGTTTTCAAGAGAATTACACGTTTTGAGGTCCCGTGTGTGCAAATAACGTAGTCACACAAAATGGTCTCTGTGTGTGTGAACAGACTAGCTCAAAAACGTTTTATTCTCTAAAATTACTAATTTTCAAAATTTCTTTCCCTAAAGTACATTAAATTTTTTAAAAAAATAATTAACCATTTCACATTGTAACCTGATATAAAAAATGGTTAAATATAAAATATGAAAGAATTTGAAAGTTAGCCAAAGGGGAAATGAGGGATCATAACAGAAAACCGAAAATACCCAAGCTTGTCCGAAAAGATAGAAAAAGCTTCCATTCGTAACTCCGTGGTTAATAAAATACGAGTTCCGATAATGTTATATACACTTACATGTGCGGTTTTCATAAAAGCTAGAGTTAGAAGCTCTAGCGTATCCAGGATTTAATTTTGGGTGGGGCTTCACTCATAACGATAATTAATTTGAAAAAAAAGAAAGAATTAACTACCTATATGGAATGGTGTTTAAGTGGTTCTCGAAGTCCTATTAAATGTAATTAAACGAACAAGAATACTTTAAGAGATATTTTTTAATATTTTTTTTCTGTAAAACATGATTATATTTTACCTTTTGGGGGGGAGGGAAGGGGGCTTCAGCCCGAAAGCCCTCCCCGTAGATCCGCCTGTGGTTAGAAGTGAAAGTTGAGTGATGCGCTCAACGCACCAGATTTTTAAAATTGCAATTGGTCAGGACAAATGCAATTCCCAGCATCCGCCATGTTTGTTTATCTGAATGTACACAAATGTCTGAATACCCTATTTGTTTTCCTTTTTGTCTGTTCGTGTTCTGGTGTTTTTGGTTTTCATACGTTCGTGTTTCTGGTATTTTCGAGGCGTGTTAACCCGGTTTTATATCACAGGAATAGACAACTAAGACTCTCTTTTACACTTAAGTACGGAAAGTTATTCGTAAATTTTTTTAAACATACAGATTTCGTAAAAAAAGGAAAATACTTCATTAGTATAAAGCATTCCGGTTTCCGCTGTATCGGTTCGTTTTATATTTGCTGTCCCTTCATAAATTTTGGATGTTATATGGTAAATTAGCATGCCTATATTACGTGTATATTAATGGCGGTGAAACAACTGATGGGCTATCGGGTTAATGTGTGACTAACATTCTGTTGATTTTTAGCTGAGTTCAGAGGTTCATTTGTTTTAAATGATGTAGAATCCATATTCTTCATTTTAACTCCTTACGATAAAATTTATAGAGTATCCTTCATAGATATATGGTTGGCTTGAAGAGCAAAGTGAACTGGGAACAGATCAAAGAAAACAACGTCACCTTCACAGACATGATAGTTGACTTTCTTATGAAATCAGGGACAGTGTGCATGGTTGCTGCCAACAGGAAAGAGGTCTTCAACAAGGTAAAACTATTTTACTTTTGTATCTGAAATTTTAATTACATTAAAAACTTACATTCGTTTTAAAAACGTTCGTATTCGTTCATATTACCGGCCCAGAGAAAGGGCGAACCTATCCAAATCCATCGTGTTATTCGGAATTAATATATTAGAAAGGAAACGTTTTTCTAGAAATTTCGTTAGTCCGATGTGCTGGGCGTTTCTGTATGGAAGGTTTTGGAGGTTTCATTTAGTATTATGATTAAAACAGTTTCTTCAAATAAGGAAACATAGAGATTTAAAATGAGATTAAATATGTATGTGGGAGTGGTGTAGCTCAATGGTAGGGTACTGAGCTTCCAATGCTGAAGACCCCAGGTTCGAACCCCGGCTCATGGCAGAAAATTTATTTATCTGTATGATTAATTGACCGTGGGGCCACCCTGAGTCGGGAGATCCTCCTGGGACACACCCAGCCTCTATAAAGTGTGCGCCCTTAATTAAATAATTAATTAAGGTGGAAAAGCTGGCGGTTGAGCGTGATCTCGGTCAAATCATCTTGCACAACCTTTGACCTAGAATGAGTGCTTTCCCTAAATAGTATTGAACCCAAGCCCTTCATGGGCCGTAGTGGTACAGGTTTTTTTTTATTTTAAATATTTTTTTTTATTAACGAAATTTACAACTGTAATTAATAATAAATACAACAAGTAAATATGAACAAGTAATATGCCATGTACTACATGAGGAGAAACTACCCATTGGTAGCACTCCAATTATATTTCTATATTAGAAGGTCGCGAGGCCATCTTCTTTTCAGACGTCTCGGAGGGTTATCAGGAATAGGAGAGGAAGCAAGGTTGGAAACGAGAGGGTTCGGATGGTTCAGAAGTTTATTATGAAAGGACAGGTATCTGGATTGAGCTAAATCGGAAACATATGGTACATTAAGGTCATTATGGATGATTTTATTTGTGACAAAGTAGGGAGCATTAAGGATTTTACGAAGGATTTTGGATTGTAGGGATTGGATACGAGAGGAATTTGATGGTTTAGTAGAGCCCCAAAGCTCGATCCCGTAAGTCCAAATAGGCCTTATTATAGTAATATATATGAGTCTTTTGTAAATAGTTGGCAGCTTAGAGCGTTTGTCTAGTAAGTGCTGGAGTAGTCGGAAACATTTTAAATATGTAAATCTAAGAATAAGGGCTGAAAGACCATATTTTATTAATTCTACTGGAATACAGCGGTAATCATAGGTTTCCTGTTTTAGAATCGTTAGGTATTTATTATTAACGATTTACGTAGTTCGCTACGACCGAACAGTGGTGTAGTGGTCAACTGGAGAGTTCGTGGTGGACGAGCTTTACCCTACACTTTAATATTTCCGCGTCTTATGAATCTTGACCTTCCCATTCTGTTTAGAAGAGGTTTGGTTCTGCCTCTAGAACATTTCCCCTCCTCGTATATGCTATAAATGCTGAGGTAGAGATGAACGAAAAAAAAATGTCTACTAGATTCAGGAACGGCCGAATAGCAATCGTGCTTTTATGGGCGGATGATAAGCCAAATAGTAAAAGCATTGGAGCATTTCCCTTGGAGCAACTCCCTATCAGGCCAAACCCGACCGAACGACGGTTTACTCTGATTTAAATAGGATTCACTGTTCTATCAAGCAAAATATTACATGAACATATCTACATCCCCAACGATATTTTCTAGACAATGCTTATATTTCTAGACCATTGCTTAGTTTGGTTTTCACTCTCATGACTTTGTTCCGTCCCCATGCACTTTTCTTTAACGCTAATATTTATAAATATTCATCAGAATAAAATATGACTTGTATCTTTTTTTTTTTTGTTGTTATAACTTAATCTTCATCGATGAATACAAATTTAATATTCATGAAAGTAACCAATTGTTATAGAAGTCGATGGTGGGAGAGAAATTAATTTTAATTAAAATATCTAAGATACATTTTATAAAAAATAAATTAGGTAAATTAAACAAAATATTTGTATAGTATTACTATTGACTACAATTGCAGTAATGTTGAAAGGTCCGTAACCCGGATGCTCCGTTTATTGTGTTGTTATCAACTACTGATATTCAACTGCCATGTCGAACAAATTTATGTGCAGGAACCAGTTGGATGATATTTAGGTGAGTTTGTTTCGTTTTATAATTAGAAATATATTATGTTAACTTAAAAAGAAATATCATAAGGCCTAAAATGGAGTAGGAGAAGTCAGCTGATGTGAGAGAGATCCACTGTTTAAGCGGTAAGGAGGAATCAGATTAAGTTGATGATGATTAAATATATAATTTTATATATTTATAAAGGTTTCTTTTAATACACCGAGCTTACTTATAATGAGTATAGCTTGTCCTTCATTACTTTAGAGATGATCCAAGCACGCGGATAATGACCACATCATCTCCATGCTTAATCGTCTTTACTAATTCATCTTTACAAGTCATCACGGCTTGCAATGATAATTATTATTTATGTTATTGACTTCGTGAGAGGCTTAGACAGCAACCAGCATTGGAAAGGTTTGAAGTCATGCGTCATCTCTACCTATATTGACTCTGTAAGATTTATGTTCTTACTCCGTAATTTGCTTTTCCCAAATTTAAACTATACAGCTATATAAAAGTCGAAACCAATCGCCAATCAAAATTATTTTTTAGCCATATTTGTCATCATAATCCTTATCTCCCATGCACTGCTGAGCAGTGTGGGGTTACAATTTGTAGAGTCTGGACCAGGTTCTCTTGGCTCTTGACTCTTGGCTCCTACTCTAATCCATACCTCGCCGCCTGAACGCCTCTCTAACACTCTCCATCCAGGATATGCGCGGTCTTCCTCTTGGCCTCCTTCCTTCCACACGAGTCTCGTATGTCTTCCTGGCAGTTCTCTCTTGATCCATCCTAAGAAGGTGTCCGAACCACTTCAGCTTATGATCCTCTAGGATGAGCTCGGCCGGCTTCACCTCGAGGTCAGTTCTAATGGTGCAGTTCCTTATCCTATCTCCTCGAACCTCTGTTTCCATTTTACGTAGATATCCATCTCCGTGGATTTGACTCTTATATTTCGAGGTAATGGTCCATGATTCGGAAGAGTGAGAAAGTATAGGGAGGATCGTTGATTTTTGTCACTTCTCTTTTATCCAGGAAACTCCTCCAAAGTAAAAAGAACACCCTTGCTGCTGCACCGATTCTCTGGGACACTTCCTCATCAATGTAGCCATTTTCATGAGATGAGCACCTAGATATTTAAAATTATTGACCTGCTTTAATCTTTCTCCATTTTCCCTTATGCCTCTCATTATCCTATAGAGTTTCTTTCTTATTCGCACACACTTGTTTTTTTTTCCTGGGTTAATTGTCATATTGATTGTGGCTATTTCTTCCAGGAGAATATTTATATTATATTGGAGGTCTCGATCGTTAGAGGACAGCAAGACTAGGTCACATGTGAAAGCAAACAGTGGTAGTGCACTGATCTTTCAATGCTCACGGTCCTGGGTTCGAATCCCAGCTCATGGCAGAAAAATTACTTTCTGTTTCATTGGCCGTGGGACTCCTCTTTCAGATAGTGCCCGATCTATGTCTTCCTTTCTAACTCTGTCGAAAGCTTTTTTGAGGTCCACGAAGCAAACCGAAAGGTCTTTATTCTTTTGAACGTTTTTATCCGTTATTTTTTTGCAATGTTAAGAGGAGATCCTTCGTGCTTCGTTATTCTCTGAACCCGTACTGCTTTTCTCTGAGCTGACTGTCGAAAATTCTTCTTATTCTTGCCTCGAGAATTCGAGGGTACACTTTGCTGGGTACACTGAGAAGTTAAATTCCCCGGTGGTTGCCACACGCTCGATTATCTTCTTTCTTATGGATGGCCACGATCACTACAACCCTTAGAAATTTTCTTTTTTTTTTTTCCAAATGAGATTCAGGAGATGAAGGAATATTTCCTTTATATTCGATGCATTTGATCATTTCATGAGTATTTTTGTGAATTCCTGCTGGCTTGCCTAGTTTGATCTTAGTAATGGCTTCTTGCAATTCTTCTTCGCTAATGTAGTCATCTTTGACCCAAACATCCTCTACATTCCTCTGGGTCTCACATATAAGCTACATCTCTCCTCTGCAGGAGATCTTTAAAATACTCTCTCCATCTTTCCATGATCAATTCGTCACGCCATATGATATCCCCATTCTTATCTTTAATTCCTTTCAGAGGAGTCGGTCGCTCCATCCTCATTCGTTCAGAACTTTATAGAAGACTTTCTGGTTTTCCTCAAGCCTCCGACCAAAATCTTCCCAAGATTTTCTTTTTGCTTCGAGAACTTTTAATTTATATTCGTTCCTTCGATCCGCGTACACTTGTTAAATTATAAAATCCTTGCTATATTTGTAACAAGATAAATGTTGGTCTGGTTGCAGGCGGAGTGAAGAAAGTCGTAAAGGTTTATTCGATAGGGAAGTCTTCAAGGGAGGGAGAAGAGCGCTCCACTCTGGCATTTTGATAAACGGGTGCAACACGATGATGGCAAGTGCATTCAAGAAATTAGACGGTATCCATTACTTCATGTTTGACATTGTAAGATAAATTCAGGATTTTTTTTTAGTTATATTGTTGTCAAACTCTATTTTTACATCTAAACGAAAGTACAACTCGAAGTCAAGATTAAAAAAATATATATATTATGAGTTTGGTCACATTTTCTGGAGAGCTCATACCACTTTAGGGAGACTGTCGCCACTTGCCTCTACAGTCTTCTACGTCACTAGCACCACTCCTCACACTAAAAAATACCTCCACCATTCTCTTCTGAACTGATCTAGTTTTCGGACATTCACGAGGGTATCTTCAACTTTAAACACACACACTTTGATCTAAACCTTATTTGGGTCGTAATAATTGTAAACCCAAGTTTCATGAGCTATAATGTTCTTTTTTGCAGCATTTTACTGTACCTTCTTCTGGTGCAAAGTGAAGCTTCAGTACACCCAATGAGTACAAAGCTTTCTGATTTGAAAATGATCGTGCGGAATGCTATGGGTTACTGGTACATTAATGCCCAAGGACTCCTCTATCTGGTGTTGGGCCACTCCCCTGTCTGCCTCGAGCAATTTGCATATAGCATTTTCTTCAGTCGCCGTTGAAGCTTGGCGATCTGATCTTGGAGCGTTTTCAAGCACGAAATTTCCTCTTTCAAACTAATAATACAATCAAAATATCGTTGTATGTTGTCGACAAGCTCTCTAAGCAGGGATGCCCTGAAGGGGGTTTCATAACATCAAAATTTATGAGGGGCGCACTTTTTGAAGAGATTTTCTCAAATTTTAAGGGGGAGCACATTTGAGGGGGTTATGAATTTTCAAAATGAAAAGTTTCAAATTGAAAGACAAGTAATGCATGGAACAGACACGTAATGCATGGAACAGACCGCATTATGTGCGATTGTATACAATATACGATTATTTGAATTCTACTTTCGTTTGCACTGTTTTTAAGAAGAAGGGAGGAATAAAATATCATGGGAGGGATGGGAGAAGGTTTATGCGCCATCGTCCATGGGGGAGGGGGATGGGCACCCCTGTCTCGAAGCACAGGTATAATTTCCTCCAAACACTGAACCACACTTAAGCCATACGCAAAGTTATAACGTTAATTTTTTATGTATTCAACTTTAGATCAGGATGTCACTATCTTCTCCCCCTCTCGCAATCCCATCACGTAGAGTGTATAAAAAAAAAAAAAATGACCGTTTTATTAAATTTAAGATTTCAAAGTAAAGTAAATATTTTAAACCTATTTAATAGTAAACAATCCCTTTAGAGCATTCTCTAAGCTTGACTAATCCCAAGCAACATCTTCAAAAAAAGTCTCAGTTTAATTATTTGTTTCAAAGAAGAAATATGACAAGGTAACAATGGATTGTACTTTGAGTATTAATTGTAATATATATCAAAGAAATAATAATACAAATATTTGGTTGAAAAACGGTAATTTTTTTTTAAACACCCTACTATTACAGAAGTTTCCTAGTTCCGTTTGAATATTGGAATAAAAGAAGATGTAAATTAAAATTAATTAAGAAATAAAATACTGTAACGTTAAGGACATGTAGCTTAGTTAAGCGTTGATGTAGTGTTCGATTCAACCAAAGCCCAATAAACAGCTTGACTATTTTAATATAAAAATAATATTAAATTCAGAGTTAACTAGAGGTTATCCTATTCCATGACCTATCCTCTCCACAACGATAATGAGACGTGAGCTAGTCTTGGACTAGGCCTTAATTCGTGATCAAGCAATCTTAAATAAAATATTGTAAATGCTGGTATGATTAACATATGATATAAATTATTAACATATGATATAAATTATTAACATATGATGTAAATTATTCAGATGACAGGTGACTTCCGTTTGTTCGAGGATAGTTGCTATTTGCGCCCCAGCGGAAACCTGCTCTCTATCAATGAAGCACTTTTCTACAAATTTACTCCAAACGTTCAAGCTTGGTTGAAAGAGAGAAAGGCTCAGCAGGTATCTATATTAAATTTAGTTTCCATGGATACATTTAAATTCCATTCAATATTATAAAAATGGATAATAATAACTAAAACAATTAGTTATCAGGCCGCGGTGATAGAGCGAGTCAAGGTGCCTGAAAAATATTATATCAAGTGTTCAAATCCCGTGCACGGGAATTATTAACACACAAAAAACATAAATAATTAATAATAAATTAAAATAATTAAATGAATGCCTCCTAATCGACCACTTATACCATTACTGCGAGGGTTCATTCTCCGCATGAAGATAACGTTCCCACCCTGAGATTCATAGGGGGGTGGATGAGCGACCTCTGTGTCTTAAATGTGATCGCATTGGGGTTAGTAAACCACGTACTCCATAGATATGTCGAAGAAGAGATAACAAAACGATCACTACTATCGTCTATAATAGCCCCAAGATTCTGAAGAAGACTCATGACTTAAAAAGTCAAAATCAACAGGCGTAGGGGGGGGGGAAGAAACAATTAGTTATTGATGTCCAACAACGGTTCCATCGGCTTTTGGGGTCTATAGATCCGCTTGATGCAACTTCAAATATTTATATTCAGTTAACTTCCAGTCTAATTTATTTATGTTTCGAAACTCAAAACTTCAATAGGTAAATAATACGTTTTATATATATATATATATATATATGTATAAATATATATATATATATATATATATATATATATATATATATATATATATATATATATATATATATATAATAGTATTGGAAATCATATTTATTATAGGATTAGGTCCCTTAAGAATACCAGTATTGTTTATATAAATTTACAATAAATCTGGCCAAAAGACCTATTACAATAAAGAATTACTAAAATACTAGTAATAAATTAAGTATAATAGCTCTTAGGATATATTAATGAAAACAATTGGGTAATAGGGTTTCAATATTACAATATTGGAGGTAAAACAATACAAAGCAAAGCATTGTAGTGATGGAATATAAAAATTAAAGAAAAATCACTGTTGATATGTAAAGAAATAAATTGTAAAAAAAAAAAGATATACATATGTTCTCTAAGATGTTTAAGTGAATACATGCAAAGATTAGGAGAAGAAGAAAAAAAAAATAAATAAATAAAAAAAAAAGATATATATATATATATAGATAGATAGATAGAAAAAAAAACTTTATTCTGGGACTAAGTCCCTTCAGAATAACAATAATGTACAAAATAATAGAATATTACTGGCCTGAATGTTGAAACAATAAATAAAATTGATAAAATAAAATAAAAAGTAAAGAAAACCTTAGGTTCACAAGCTATATACAATACAGATAAAATTATGTACAGAGCATTTAAAATTATGAACAAAACAATTAAAACAATGAACGAATCACTTGAACTATGAACAAAATTATATTTAAGGGTTGAACAACATAAACATACACTTTGAGAAATGAAGAACGAAAAAGAGATAGAATGAGTTCATTTCATAAAAAAAAAACAAAAAAAAAAAAAAAAACTTTACTTGAATATATATAAATAATAAACAGTTACTTATAATTGAATAAAAAAAAAAAAAAAAAAAATGTATTATTGAAATTCCTACGTCGATAGTAGGAAATGCAGGTACTATCTCTTACCAAGTGTTATGTTTATATGATTGCTACACAATACATATATAATATTAATCGTTAGCTGGTATCAGACTGTTTTTGGAACAGGAATTGGAATAGGAGGTTTTTGAATGTATACAGGGAAGGGGCATGTCGAATTTTGATCGGGAGGGAATTCCAAAAGTTGACAGAGCGGGCTATAAAGGAATTTTGGAATGAGGCAGATCTATGAGAAGGGATGTATAGGTCAGAGGGTCGGGATCTTGTAGTGAGTGAATGGATTGAGGACTTAAATTGGAGAAGGTTGTAGGCATAAGAAGGACGATGATCGGTAATGATTTGATAAAGGAAAGTGCCAAGGAAATATTGTCTTCTTAAGGAGGGGAAGAGCCACCCTAACTCAGTGTAGTGGTGGGAGACACGGGAGCGTCTCGGGGTTCCAATTACAAATCTTACGAAGCAATTCATAAGTCTTTTGAGTCTAGGTAAGGTTATTGTGATAGTGATTGGTGATAACGTATTGGTTCTCCAAAGTATTGTGTTTAGACTTGTGACTGGTGTATATATACTTATTTTGTTATTGTTCGTGTTCTAGTGTTTTCCAATTTACTGTTCATTATGTTTTCTTGTTCTTTTTTTTTGAGTTTTCTTTTGTAAATAAGTTTTTAGTTTTAAGTAAGGTTAAGTGGAACTACGAGTTCGTAATCTTCTCGTAGTTGAAGACTTTCTGGACTTTAATCGTTCCTACGAGAGCTAAAACTTATAACAGAGAACTTGTATACAAGTTTCATTGGACATAAATAGAAAGGTAACTTTCATTTAATAAACGTAGTTAGTTAACCTCTAAACTGTAGTGTACTATAAACTGAAATCATTTGTAGTGTTTACTAGTTTCTTACAGTATGGTTGACCCAATTGTTATTGATATGGAAGAGGAGAGTTCCCAAAAGGTTTCCAAGCGAAATGCCAAACGGGCAAGAAAGGGTTCTCTTGATTTGGAGGCAAACTCGGAGGAGGCTGCAGCTAAAAGTTTACTACAATCGGCCTTACAAATCCAGGAGAATCTTAGGGTTTATGGGTTAGATAATGGGTTGAATATCAAGGTACAAAATTATATAAATAGAAAAATTCTAACCTTGATAGATATAATTGAAACCCTAGACGACAAAAGTAAAAAGGCACACACAAATGAAGACGTTTCTGAGTTCATCCAAAAAGCGGTTCATGAGTCACTTAAGACTCCTAGTATTCATGAGATGATTGCTCGACTTGTAATAGAAAAAACGGTGCCCAAAATTATTGAGGGACTAACGGCAGCTCGAGTGGAACCACAACCACAAATCTTAGCCAAAGCCGGTCACTCAAGTGAAGCGCAAGCAGATATCAGAGAAGCAAGCCCGGCTGGACCCTCAGCGGCTACTGAACCCTACAAAGTCGTAGTCAGTAAAAGAAGCCGCAGGAGGACCAAAGCAGCTAACAAGGCAGCTAGTAATTTAAATAACCTGATTGAGCCGACCAGTCATGTCTCTCCTGAAGATTCAGCCCAATTACAAAGTAAGCCACGGACAATGGCAGATATTGTAAAATCTCTGCCATTGAAGCCGGCAGAGATATCTAACTCTAAACCCACCTACGTCACAATTAGTGGGCCCGGTAAAAGTCCCGTGGAAATCATCAGTGGGCTGCCATCTCCTACTGAAATAGGAGTTAATGCCTCCATAGTACGTGCTACTAAGGGAGGCTCGGTCTTAGTTCGGATGGAAGATAGCTCCCAAGCGGCGAAAGTTATTGGGTGGCAGGGTCTACGAGAAGTAGGACTAGAGGCCAAGCTTGCACTTAAGAAACGACCTAGGCTTGAAATTAAAGGTGTGCCCAATTCGTGGACTGCGGAGGCATTAATTACGCTTTTACGGGCAAAGCTAATTGATAAATCGATCCCAGCTTCGCTCGTGAACGATGGACTTCGGCCTGTTTTCTCATCTACAGCAAGGAATGGAATAACTAAAAACTGGGTGCTGGAAGTGCACCCAACCCTACGATTCCATCTATTAGACATGGCAAGCTTGAATGGAGGATGGTGGTCAATGACCTTTGAAGATAACCTCGACGCCCCCCGTTGTACCAAGTGTCAGGACTACGGGCACTCTAAGGCCACATGTCCAACAGATGCACTGGTCTGCATCTGATGTGCAGGTACTGGTCATTTTCTCAAGGAGTGCCCCAAAAAACTAGCTCAGGCAGGGCCGACATGCATAAACTGTGTGAGGGCAAAGGCCCATCCGAGACACACTAAGCATAAGGCGGGCAGTCGTGATTGTCCTGTGCATTTAAATTGGTCACAAAAAATGGCGATGAGGACTTCTTATGAATAAGATCTCCATCCTTCAGCTCAATATGGGCCGCCGGCGTCTAGTTGCGGAAGAGCTACGCTCCCTCTCACAAAGCTACGACATCATGGCAGTCCAGGAACCGAGTTGCTGGGGAAACAAGGTCACGGGGTTTGGTCTCACATCGAGGGTTATAGCCTTGAGCAGTGGAGAGAGGAGGCCCAGGGCTGCTATTGTGGTTAACAACCCCAACCTCGATGTGATGGATCTGAGGCAGTTTACCATGGCGGATTGTGTTGCTTGTCATATCAGATGGAACCATGTTGCCTTTACGCTGGTCTCATCATATTTACCGGACGGGGGCGATATTGACGAAGACATATCCGCCATGGAGATGATCACGGCTTGCACCAGGAACGTGATCATATGCTCAGATACCAACTCCTGGAACACGGTCTGGGGATCTAATCGAACTAATAGAAGGGGCGCTAAGCTCGGTGAATTTATTGCCCGAAACCATCTAGTGGTTATGAACGATCCCTCTGCTACCCCGACGTTCTCTAGCGCTAGGGGGCAGAGCTGGATTGATGTTACCTTGGTATCACCGGTGCTGGCAAACCGCATTATCGATTGGGTCCTCCGATCTGAAACGAGTTCCGACCACCAAGCGATAGCCTTTAGGCTGACGGAAAATACAGAAGTTTCCCTCGGAATAGAAAAAGGTTACCTTACTCGAAAAGGAAATTGGAGTGCCTTCCGGTCATTGCTGGAGGGAAAACTGGTCGACGAAGACTGGGATGAGGCGGAAACGGAGCAAACAGATGATCTGGATTACCGAGTATCCAGGATCACTGATGTCATCCGCGATACCGCTGAAGAATCCCTTCAGCACCGGAAGGCGAGAGCTCGACCTGTCCCATGGTGGACGCCTGCCTTAACCACTATGAAGAGAGAACTCTACAAGGCACGGCGTTCATACCAGAAGTGTACTTGCGAAGAGAGGCGCATTACACTTCGTGATGAGTACAAGTCTAAAGCCAGGGCATACCGAAACGAGGTGCGGTTAAGAAA